CACACACACACAGTCTCTCATAATAATAATAATCCTTACATTTGATATAGCGCTTTTCACGTCGAGTCGTGACAAGTCCTCAAAGTGCTTGACAGAACACACTGTAAAGTGAATTGACTGTGTATTTGTGGGCGAAATGCTGGCAGCCAATTTGCACAGCAAGTGTCCCACAAACAGTCGTAGATGAAAAAGACCAATTTATTATTGTTTTTGGTTTTGGGAGGGATTATTATTAGGCTCTGTGTGGAGTAAGGAAACTTGCCCAAGGTTTCGCCCTCTGCCTGGAATTGAACTCAGGTCTCTCACTTGCAAAGCGAGTGCTCCAACCACTGAGCTACAGGACTCCAAACACAGTCCACACACACAGTCTCACACACACACACAGTCTCACACACACACACAGTCGCACACACACTAGCACGAAACACAGAATCGCACACACACACACAGTCGCACACACACACACAGTCGCACACACACACACAGTCGCACACACACACACAGTCGCAAACACACACACACGCGCACACACACGAAAGCGCACACACACACACACACCAGTTACACACACACACACACACAGTCTCACAACACACCCACACAGTCTCACACACCACACACACAGTCTCTCACACACCACACAGTCTCTCACACACACACAGTCTCTCACACACACACACAGTCTCTCACACACACACACACCAGCTCTCACACACACACACAGTCTAACACACACACAGTCTCTCACACACACACACAGTCTCTCACACACACACACAGTCTCTCACACACACACACAGTCTCTCACACACACACACAGTCTCTCACACACACACACAGTCTCTCACACACAGTTTTCACACACAGTCTCTCACACACACACAGTCTCTCACACACACACACAGTCTCTCACACACACACACAGTCTCTCACACACACACACACAGTCTCTCACACACACACACACAGTCTCTCACACACACAGTCTCACACACACACAGTCTCACACACACACAGTCTCACACACACACAGTCTCACACACAACACAGTCTCACACACACACAGTCTCACACACACACAGTCTCACACACACACAGTCTCACACACACACAGTCTCACACACACACACAGTCACACACACACACACAGTCACACACACACACACAGTCACACACACACACACACACAGTCTCACACACACACAATCACACAGTCTAACACACAGTCGCACACACACACACAGTCGCACACACACACACAGTCGCACACACACACACAGTCGCACACACACACACAGTCGCACACACACACACAGTCGCACACACACACACAGTCGCACACACACACACAGTCGCACACACACACACAGTCACACACACACACACAGTCACACACACACACACACACACACACAGTCACACACACACAGTCACACACACACACAGTGTCACACACACACACAGTGTCACACACACACACACAGAGTCTCACACACAGAGTCTCACACACACACAGTCTCACACACACACACACAGTCTCACACACACACAGTCTCACACACACTCACACACACAATCTCACACAACACAGTCTCACAGACACAGTCACACACACACACAGTCTCACACACACACACAGTCTCTCACACACACACAGTCTCACACACACACACAGTCTCACACACACAGTCTCACACACACACACAGTCTCACACACACACACCACAGTCTCACACACACAGTCACACCACAGTCTCACCCACACACACAGTCTCACACACACACACAGTCACACACACACACACAGTCACACACACACTCACACACACACAGTCTCTCATCACAGCTACACAGTCTCACACACACACAGTCGTCACACACACATCCACACAGTCTCACACACACCAGTCTACACACACACACACAGTCTACACACACACACACAGTCTCACACACACACACAGTCACACACACACACACAGTCACACACACACACACAGTCACACACACACACAGTCTCACACACACACAGTCCACACACACAGTCTCACACACACAGTCTCACACACACAGTCTCACACACACAGTCACACACACACAGTCACACACACACAGTCACCACACACACAGTCACACACACACACAGTCACAACACACACACAGTCACACACACACCAACAGTCACACACACACACAGTCACACACACACACAGTCACACACACACACAGTCACACACATTCACACACACACACAACATCACACAGTCACACACACATCACAGTCACACACACACACAGTCCACACACACACACACAGTCCACACACACCACAGTCACACAGTCACCGCACACACAGTCACACACAGTCTCACACACGCACACAGTCTCACACACACACAGTCTCACACACACACAGTCTCACAACCACACACACATAGTCTCACACACACACACACAGTCTCACACACACATAGTCACACACACAGTCTCACACACACACACAGTCACACACACACACAGTCTCAACCAAGTCTCTCACAGCACACACACAGTCTCACACACACACACACAGTCTCACACACACACAGTCTCACACACACACACAGTCTCACACACAGACACACACACACAGTCTTACACACACACACAGTCTCTCACACACACACACACAGTCTCACACACACACACAGTCTCACACACACACACAGTCTCACACACACACACAGTCTCACACACACACAGTCACACACACACACAGTCACACACACACACAGTCTCACACACACACAGTCTCACACACACACACACAGTCTCACACACACACACAGTCTCACACACACACACAGTCTCACACACACACAGTCTCACACACACAGTCTCTCACACACAGTCACACACACACAGTCTCACACACACACACAGTCTCACAGACACACACACAGTCTCACACACACACACAGTCACACACACACACACAGTCACACACACACACACAGTGACACACACACAGTCGCACACACACAGTTGCACAGTCTCACACACACAGTCTCACTCACACACACAGTCTCACACACACACACAGTCTCACACACACACACAGTCACACACACACACACAGTCCACACACAGTCTCACACACACACAGTCTCACACACACACATTGTCTCACACACACACAGTCTCACACACACACACATTCTCACACACACACACAGTCTCACACACACACAGTCTCACACACACACCATCTCACACACACACAGTCACACACACACAAGTCACACACACACACACACAGTCTCACACACACACACAGTCTCACACACACAGTCTCCCACACACACAATCACACACACACACACAGTCTCACACACACACCAGTACACACATCACACATCGCAGCACACACAGTTGCACAGTCTCACACACACAGTCTCACACACACACACAGTCTCACACACACACACAGTCTCACACACACACACACACAGTCTCTCACACACACACACACAGTCTCTCACACACACACACACAGTCTCTCACACACACACACAGTCTCTCACACACACACACACAGTCTCTCACACACACACACACAGTCTCTCACACACACACAGTCTCTCACACACACACACAGTCTCTCACACACACACACAGTCTCTCACACACACACACAGTCTCTCACACACACACACACACAGTCTCTCACACACACACACACACAGTCTCTCTCACAACACACACCACAGTCTCACACACACACAGTCTCACAACACACAGTCTCACACACACACAGTCTCACACACACACAGTCTCACACACACACAGTCTCACACACACACAGTCTCACACACACACAGTCTCACACACACAGTCTCACACACACACAGTCTCACACACACACAGTCTCACACCACACAGTCTCACACACACACACAGTCTCACACACACACACAGTCTCACACACACACACAGAGTCTCACACACACACACAGTCACACACACACACACAGTCACACACACACACACAGTCACACACACACACACAGTCGCACACACACACACAGTCGCACACACCACACACAGTCGCACACACACACACAGTCGCACACACACACACAGTCGCACACACAACACACACAGTCGCACACACACACACACAGTCGCACACACACACAGTCGCACACACACACACAGTCGCACACACACACACAGTCGCACACACACACAGTCACACACACACAGTCACACACACACAGTCACACACACACAGTCACACACACACAGTCACCACACACACACAGTCACACACACACACAGTGTCACACACACACACAGTGTCACACACACACACAGTGTCACACACACACACAGTGTCACACACACACACAGTCACACACACACAGTCACACACACACACAGTCTCACACACACACACAGTCTCACACACACACACAGTCTCACACACACACACACAGTCTCACACACACACACACAGTCTCACACACAGTCTCACACACACACCACAGTCTCACAGTCACACACAGTCTCACACACACACACAGTCTCACACACACAGTCTCACACACACACACCACAGTCTCACACACACACACAGTCTCACACACACAGTCACACACACACACACAGTCACACACACACACACCACAGTCACACACACACACACACACAGTCACACCACACACACACACACAGTCTCACACACACACAGTCTCACACACACACACACACAGTCTCACACACACACACAGTCTCACACACACACACACACACACACACAGTCTCACACACACACAGTCTCACACACACACACAGTCTCACACACACACACAGTCACACACACACACAGTCTCACACACACACAGTCTCACACACACACACACAGTCTCACACACACAGTCTCACACACACAGTCACACACACACAGTCTAACACACAGTCTCACACACACAGTCTCACACACACAGTCACACACACACACAGTCACACACACACACAGTCACACACACACACAGTCACACACACACACACGTCACACACACACACAGTCACACACACACAGTGTCACACACACACAGTCACACACACACACACAGTCACACACACACACACAGTCTCACACACACACAGTCACACACACACTTAAATCAGCACCACCACGCCATGGGCCATTACCAACGGCAAAAGGAGGTTTTAAGGACTGTCTTGTAATACTGGATAAATTTACAAAATGGCTTGAGGCTTTTCCCACTAAGACTAACAGGAGAGATAGGAACCTGGGATAATTGGACCGGGAGAATGGATGGGATACAAACTAGCAATTAAAACTGAGAAAAAAATTAAAGTGAGCAGGTCACATGGACAGAGTTAGAAAGAAGGACTAAAACTTCAGGGACATAGAGTCAGGTGGTTTGGTCAGGCTAGATAAGATGGAATAGGAGGATATTGTTCTCTTGCAGAAGATACTGGCAGCTGGTACAAGGAGAAACAACTTGAAGATAGGGAGAGAATGCCTGGGAAAGTGCAGAGAGTGTGAGAAAGAAGTCTTGGGAAAAGAGTTAGAACACAGAAAAAGGGGTATGAAAAAGGGTATAAAAATCGACAGCCAAAACTAGTTTGTAGAAGAAAAGAGGAGAAGAGCCGCGAGAAGACCCGCGGGAGGAGACTCGAGAGAAGGCTCGAAAGAGCCGCGGGAGAGCCTCTGAGGAGACTCTGTGGAGCCTCTGAGGAGAGGAAGGGAACGAATCTCAACAGAGGGGAAGAAGAGTGCCTTTGAGGGAAAGAGGACAAGTCCAGCTCTCACCCGAGTGGACCGCAAATAGGACAAGTTTAGCCCTCGCCGGAGTGGACCACCAAGAGACGTTTGTCGCCAGCAGCACACCAGAGACCGTGTTTAACTTTTGTGCCAGCCTTAGAACTTCGACACAATTTCCTGCCTGCTTGGTAGTATCTCTCCGACTTACTAAAACACGCACCCAACATACATACAAAACAGTTAAGAGATTATTTAGGCACATTTCATATTCACTTTTTATGTGTTATAATTATGTTCTTTAGATGGCTAGTCATTACATGAAAGCGTTGGGGTATGGATCTTAGCTTGTGGGTTTTATAATTGCTACTAAAACGTCTTAATAATATCCTTGGTGTGGTTTCTGACAAACGCTTGAACCCCAAATTTCACAGCGCGCATACACGCGCGCACACGCCACTGCTACAGAATTATTAGCTCGAGGTGACATGTTTGGCAAAGGAATGTCGGAATCGAGCCAGCGTTCTGTGATACGCTCTCGTACGGTTTCTGACCCAGGTGGGTCCACATCCAAGGCACTGCTGATGACAGCACAGCTCATCGGCAGGACTTGGAAGGGCAGACCAGTCCCTGGGGGCAGGGAATCATCCCACTCAGCTTTTGTTAACCATGCAAGCCAAAGCCCTAACGGGTAGGGTGGTCCTTGCTCCAGCAGTTACCCCAACGCACCCTCTAGGGTCCCCAAGCCTTGGCTCTCGCCAGCCAGTGCCTAATAATCTCCAGAATTTGACAAACGGGGTGTGAACCTCTACAGAGAATTTGCGTATCAAATTCTGATGAACATCTCGAGAATTTCCATGTTTAGGTGGGATGCATGGAATTCTCTTGTTTCTCTTAAGCCTGGGTATCTGCATGTGTTAAGACGCCCAGCTGACCAAAAAAAAAGAATAATCCTTGCATTTGATACAGCGCCTTATCACGTCATTGATATGTCTCAAAACACTTCACAGAATATATTGTAAAGTGAATTGACTCTATATTTTGTGGGCAGTCAATTGTTCAGCAGTGTCCCACAAACAGTCGTGCATTGAGTGACCAAATTTTTATCATTTTGGAGGAATTATTACCCCTCGTAAGTGATCCACCAATCGGCTAACAACTGAGTTACTATTTACTGCGAGGTAAACAGAGACGACCGGAGTAAGGAAACTTGCCTAAGGTGTTGCCCTGCCTGAGAATCAAACCCAGGTCCTCTCACTTGCAAGGCGAGCACGCTAACCCTATGCTACAGGACTCCCAACTTAAAATGACAGTCACACACTCATACCCGGGAGAGATTTACCTGACATGTTCGTGCTCTGTGAACAGGATGTCTCCTGCGGCTGGGTCAGTGTCCTCTTTCACCTGTCTGATCGTCACCAGTTGTCCATCCCACATCAGACTGCGAACACAAGACACCGCTTCATCAGTAACATCCCACAACAACCGTGTGTCAGCCTGGCTCAGTCGCTATGTGCCAGCCTGGCGAATTTGCTCACACGCTGGCCTCCGAGGCAGGAGGTTGTGGGTTCGAGCTTGAGCTCAGAGTCCTGGCTGATGCTTCAGCCCAGCGCTGGGGGGAAGAAGCGCAGCATTGTCAGAGAATGCCGTTCTTCGACTGAGACATTAAACATCCCAACAACAACAACTTGCACTCATATAGTCTCCTCAAGCAGGGTAGCATCTCAGAGTGCTTGACAATGGCGGAGCATGACGCTGAGCCAGGGAGAGGAGACTGTAGGCAGGTTCAATGAGGAAGGTCTTCAGGAACGACCTAAAGATGGGGAAGGAATGGGCAAGGCGGAGGGTTAGAGGGAGTGTGCTCCAGAGTTTCAGGACATAGTGGCTGAAAACACGGTCGCCGATGGTGCAATGGAGGGCATGAGGGACGTGCAGGAAGCCAGAGCCAGTCAATCGGAGATAGCAGGTAGGGTGGTAGGCAGGTCAGAGAGGGTAGGGAGATGCCAAGGCATGAAGGGATTTGAAAATGAGTGTGAGGATTTTGAAGTTGATTCATTCTGTGACAGGGAGCCAGTGGAGCCTGGCTAGAACTGGTGTGATGGGGCTACGGAGTTTAGTGTGTGTGATAGGGAGCCAATGGAGACTGGCAAAAACTGGTGCGATGGGGTATGAAGTTTAGTGTGTGTGATAGGGAGCCAGTGGAGCTTGGCTAGAACTGGTGTGGAATTTACACAGCTCCTGGCTATATCCATCCTCAAAGCAAACTCTCCTCCCCAGCTCCACGATCTACTAAACTCTCACCAACCCGTCCGCTCCCTCCACTTGGCGGGCAACGATCTGCTCCATGTGCCTCACCCGGTCCACCCCACCATCGTGTGCCTTCAGCCTTTTTGCCTGCAACCCCTCTGGAATTCAATCCCTCAGTCCCTTCGCCTTGCCCCCCCTCCCTCACCTCCTTCAAGGTCCGTCTTCTTCGACTGCCCCTTTGGCCACCCTCATACCCTCCCTGCCCTCCATCCTCCTCATGATCCCAACCCCCTGCTCGGGTCCCCCCGCCCTCATAGGAGGAGAAAGAAGTGCGTATTATCAAGTTGGAATTAATTTAATAATCCTCGTGTCTGACCCAGTGCCTTTCACGTTAAGACAACATCTCATTGCGCTTTACAGGATTAACTGTAAAGTGTATTGACTGTGTGTTTAACGTGGCATTCACCCCTCCCCTCCGTTTGCAACGGCAGTGAAGTGAGCGATTTTATTTGTTGGCCAGGACACCAGGAGGGAGAGAAACTCCCTTCTCGTTTCCCGACAGCGCTGCAGGCGATCTATAATGTCCCCTCTGAACAGGGCACAGATGGGGAATGAGGTTTAAGTTCTCATCCGAAGGACGGCGTCTCTGACAATGCAGCACTCTCTCCCCACAGCGCTGGAGAATCAGCCTGGACTGTGAGCTCAGAGCCCCCTGGGGGCTTGAACCCACGACCTCCTTCCTTGGAGACCAGAGAGAGCTAAACTGGGACTTACTTGCACATCTCTGTGTAGGGTGTGTTGCAGGACCCTCGGTCAGTCTCGCTGTCTGCACGCACTAGCTCTTTCTCTGGGACGATGGGTGTTGAGGCGAGAAAGCCCACGTGCCGTGGGCTATACCAGCACAGCTAAAACACAGATCAGGACAGTCACACTGAAACACACACACATGCACACACGAAACACATACACACGTATTGAAGCTCCTTCACTGTGACTGACACGCACATGCATACGAACAAACACACACAGACACAAACACACACACACTGAGCAGGACGGTCACGGACTCCATCACTGACACACACACACACACACGCATGCTCTTTCCACAGTTCTGAGCCACAAGACAAGACACAGAAATCTCACTTTTCCAAATCCAAAGTGTGTGATGGTAGTGAGCTCCACCAGGAGTCAGGGGGCTTCAGCCTGGAGAGGAGAGAGACAGTCACAGTCACACTCACACCCTCACAGTCATGCCCTCACAGTTACACTGACACTCAGAGTCACACTCACATTCTCACAGTCACACCCTCACACAGTCGGACTCACACCCTCACAGTCGCACTCACCCTCACAGTCGCACTCACACCCTCACAGTTGCACACATCACAGTTACCTGATCCAGTCACACTCACATTCTACAACCTCACAGTCGACCACACCTCACACAGTCACTCACCTCACTCGCACTCACCCCAGTGCACACTCTCAGTCACACCTACAAGTCAGTCTCACTTGCACCCTCAGTCACACTCACACCCTCAGTCATTTACACCCTCAGTCACTTAGACCCTCACAGTCACACTCACATCCTCACAGTTACTCACATCCTCACAGTCGCGCAAAAACATTTAATAATCGCCAGGCACAGACCACAGGCAAAAGGTAATAACAGGCAGAGCTGCCCTGGGCAGTGAGAGCTCTTACCTCAGCTGAAGGAGACGATGGAGTGAGGAGGATGAGGAATGCAGGAGCTGGGCGTGGTAGCCTGGACAAGGGGGCCAGTGTCCGGGGTCACTGCCAGCGGGATATCAGTGACACCCATAACTGGAAACGGCACAGGAACTCCAGCATCTGTGAGATTTACTTTTATTGTGTTATTATTTGACACACAGCGTCTTATCGTGCTGTTGAGGACTTAAAGGGTTAAATTATGAGGACAGGTTGCATGAACCTGGTCTCTATTCCTTTGAGTTTAGAAGGTTGACGGGTGATCCGATTGAGGTTTTCAAAATAATAAAAGGGATTCAATAGGGTACGTACATATAAACTATTTCCTCTGGTGGGGGAATCCAGAACAAGATGCATAGTTTTAAAAATTAGAGCTTGGCCATTTAGGAGTGAAATTAGGAGGCCTTCTTTCACCCAAAGGGTAGGGGAAATCTGGAACACTCTCTCTCCACAAGGCTGTAGACGCTGGAAACATTCACATCTTCAATACTAAGTGGATAGATATTTGTTAGGTCAGGGATTAAGGGATACAGGACAAAGGCAGGCAATTGTACTTTGAGGTACAGATCAGCCATAATAATCCTTGCATTTATAACGTCTTCGAGACATCTCAAAGTGCTTCACAGAATATATGGTAAAGTGAATTGACTCTCTATTTTGTGGACGAAACAAAAGCCATGATCTTATAGAATGGCAGAACAGGCTCGAGGGGCTAAATGGCCTATTCCTGTTTCTACTGTAAAGTGTAGTGACAGTCTATTTTGTGGGTGGAACGCTGCAGCCAATTGCCCTGGGGACAAGCAGGAGTCCGTACCAATTGAGCGGAGGGAGCGGGTAGTAGGTTGGACAGAAAGCAGGTCGTAGAGATAGGGAGGTGCTAGGGCAAGAAGGGATTTGAAAACAAGTGTAAGGATCTTGAAATCGATCCGTTCGGTGATAAGGAGCCAGTGGAGCCTGACTGGGGGTATAGAGTTTAGTTTGTGTGACAGGGAGCCAGTGGAGCCTGGCGAGAACTGGTGTATTGGGGGTACAGAGTTTAGTGCGGGTGAGCTTGTGGACAGTGGAATTTACCTGTGTGTTATGGGTGGTGCCGGCAGCCTGTGCCCACCGCCCCGGTGTCCTGCCCTCCGCGTCGTGCAACCGCAGGTCCCCGCCAGCCTGCAGTAACTTACACAGCAGCTCAGGCCGGCCTGAGAAGCAGGCTGCGTGGACTGGAGTACTGCGGTCATCACAGCGACTGAGGGACAAGAGAGGTCAGTCAGTCAGGCATCCTCCCTCTCCTGCAGATACAGTCACACAATCACTCACATACGCACAGTCACTCACACAGTCACTCACACAAGCAAAGTCACTCACACATGCACAGTCACTCACATGGACCCGCAGTCACTCACACGCAGTCAGTCACACACGCAAAGTCACTCACACATGCACAGTCACTCACACGGACCCGCAGTCCCTCACACGCACAATAACACACACGCACAGTCACTCACACGCAGTCACTCACACACGCACACAGTCACTCACAGTCACTCACGCATGCACACAGTCACTCACACGCACACAGTCACTCACACACAGATACAGTCACACACAGACCTACACTATCAGTCACTCACACACACGGTTACACACACTCAGGCGTGATCTAACCACAGCGGGGCATGGGTGTCCTAATAATAATTTTAAAACAAATAATTTGTTCACTCAATCCAAGACCGTTTGTGGGACACTGCTGTGCGCAATTGGGCTGCCGCATTTCACCCACAAAATATACCGTCAATTCTCTTTACAGTGTATTCTGTGAAGCACTTTGAGATATCTCGAAAACGTGATAAGGCGATATATCAAATGAAAGTATTATTATGATAATAATCCTTGCATTTAAGACAGCACCTCATCAAGTCGTTGAAAGGGCTCAAAACCCTTAACCAGAATACATTGTAAAGTGTAGTAACTGTATTTTGGGGGCAAAACATGTCCCACAATTTTTTTTTTTGGGGGGGGTGGCGGGGTCAGCTGGGCATCCAATACATGCAGAAACTCATCACTATGTTTAAGAGTATCCAAACCAAACTAAGATTTCCATGCATCCAACCTACGCGTGGAAATTACAGAGATTGTTGGAATGGAATGCGCGCTCTCTCCCCGGAGGGACGGACGCATCTTGTTTACCTAATTCTGGGTGTATTCAAGGCTCGGGGGACCCCAGAGTGCGCGGTGGGGTAATTGCCGGTATCTAACCAGCTAAAAACGCACGGCTTGCTATTCAGAGCGCTGTCCGGCAAGCTTTCCCACTGCTTGTCCAGCGTGCGACCTAATCAAAGCCCGACATGTAAAAAAAAAATTCTCCTCATCTCCCCTCTTGGTTCTTTTGCCAATCATCTTCATCTATGTTCCTGGTTACTGACCCACTTGCCAGTGGAAACAGTTTCCCCCCCTATCTCCTCTCTCTACTCAGAACCCCTCAGAATTTTGAACATCTTTCTATTACATTTCCCCTTAAACCTTCTCTGCTCTGAGGAGAACAATCCCGACTTCTCTCGTCCCGAAAATACCTACTAGTTGGGATTAGCGCCGTTCTTCAGTAGAGCTGAGACGGTCTTTGATTGACGGAGGAGAGAGGCCACGTACAGAGGCGTCTGTCCAAGGCTGTTCAAAGCATCAATTTCTGCACCTGAGACAGAAAATGGTTAAAGCTCCATCTCACGCGCTCTCCATTACTCTCTTATCCTCCGTCTCACGCTCCCACCTCTCCATCGGCCCTCCATCACACCCTCTCTTCAACGCCTCCACCCCTCCGTCTCCTCCAGCAGCCTCTACCCTCCATCTCGCCCCGTCTCTTATTAGTCTCCACCTCCATCGCGCCCTCTCTCCATCAGCCTCTACCCCTCTGACTCGCCCCCTCTATCAGTCTCTCCGTTCCATCTCGCCCTCTCCATGTCTCTACCCTCCATTTTGCCCATTGTTCAATCGTTGTCTCTCCCCCTCTGCTTCGCAGCCCCTCTTCCCTCTCCGTGAGCGCAAAGACCCCGGACAAGGGGCTGGGTGGTGGCGGGGTTTGGGAGAGGAGGGGGAGATAGGGGAGAGTCTCGAACCCCATGACCTCCCTTACCTTTGGCCAAGGCTCCAGCCAAGCCGCTCACCTTCCCGTGCTGGGCGCAATGGTGTAACCGGGCGGCGGGCGAAGTGGGGTCTATCGCCCCCCCGAGCTGGGTGGGGCAAGTGGGGGGCAATGACTGTCCTTTTGGCATCTCTTGCCCTCCCCCCGCCCACTATCCCCACTCCCCCCCCACCAACAGGGCAGTGACGAGAAACAGCACTTCCTTTCCCTCCCTCCCTCTCTCTCTTAGGAAGATGTACGGTCCTTAGCGCCGAGTCGTCATCTTGGTTGGCAAAGCATCTGGAGACAGCGGGGGGGCAAGTGTGGGGGGGGGGGGAGTGTGGGGGGAGGGGGGGGAGTGTGGGGGAGGGAGGGAGGAGTGTGGGGGGGGAGGGAGTGTGGGGGAGGGAGGGAGTGGGGGTGGGGGAAGGAATGAGTGTGGGGAGGGGGAGGGTGGTGGAATGTGAGGGGGAGATGGAGTGTAAGGGAGGGAGAGTGTGAGGGAGGGAGGGAGATGGAGTGTGAGGGAGGGAGGGAGGGAGTGTGAGGGAGGGAGGGGAGTGTGAGGGGGGAGATGGAGTGTGAGGGAAGGTGTGAGGGGGAGATGGAGTATGAGGGAGGGTGTGAGGGGGGAGATGGAGTATGAGGGAGGGAGGGGAGTGTGAGGGGGAGATGGAGTGTGAGGGAGGGGAGTGTGAAGGGGGAGAGGGAGTGTGAGGGAGGGAAGTGTGAGATGGAGTGTGAGGGAGGGAGGGGAGTGTGAGGGAGAGTGTGAGGGAGGGAGGGGAGTGTGAGGGGGGAGAGGGAGTGTGAGGGAGGGAAGTGTGAGATGGAGTTCACACTCACTGAGTTCACACACAGGGAGGGGAGTGTGAGGGAGGGAGGGAGTATGAGGGGGGAGAGGGAGTGTGAGGGAGGGAGCGGAGTGTGAGGGAGAGTGTGAGGGAGGGAGGGGAGTGTGAGGGGGGGGAGGGAGTGTGAGGGAGGGAGGGGAGTGTGAGGAGAGTGTGAGGGGGGAGGGAGTGTGAGGGGAGTGTGAGGGAGAGTGTGAGGGGGGGAGGGAGTGTGAGGGAGAGTGTGAGGGGAGGGAGGGAGTGTGAGGGAGAGTGTGAGGGGGGGAGGGGAGTGTGAGGGAGAGTGTGAGGGAGGGAGGGAGTGTGAGGGAGAGTGTGAGGGGGGAGGGGAGTGTGAGGAGGAGTGGTGAGGGGGGGAGGGGAGTGTGAGGGAGAGTGGGAGGGAGGGGAGTGTGAGGGAGAGTGTGAGGGAGAGGGGAGTGTGAGGGAGAGTGTGTGAGTGTGAGGGAGAGAGTGTGAGGGAGAGTGTGAGGGAGAGTGTGAGGGAGAGGGTGAGTGTGAGGGAGAGTGTGAGGGGAGTGGGAGGAGAGTGGGAGGGAGGAGGGGAGTGTGAGGGAGGGAGGGGAGTGTGGGGGAGAGTGTGAGGGAGGGAGGGGAGTGTGAGGGAGAGTGTGAGGGAGAGAGGGTGAGTGTGAGGGAGAGTGTGAGGGGGGAGAGAGTGTGAGGGAGAGTGTGAGGGAGGGAGGGAGTGTGAGGGAGAGTGTGAGGGAGGAGGAGTGTGAGGAGAGTGTGAGGGGAGTGTGAGGGAGAGTGTGAGGGAGGGAGGGGAGTGTGAGGGAGAGTGTGAGGGGAGTGTGAGGGAGGGAGGGGAGTGTGAGGGAGAGTGTGAGGGGGGGAGGGGAGTGTGAGGAGAGTGTGAGGGGGGGGGGGGAGTGTGAGGGAGAGTGTGAGGGGAGTGTGAGGGAGAGTGTGAGGGGGGGAGCAGTCACGGCTCTGGGGAGGGCAGGAACACGGCAGCACCAGGACAGGACAGGACAGGGAGCGCGAGGAGAGAGCGAGCGACGGTTGGCGCTTTTCCCGCGCTTTTTCTCCCCCTCTTCGACCAACAGTTTAAACCGTCACCTGTGAGAGAGAGAGAGAGAGAGAGTGAGAGGGGAGAGAGAGAGAGAGAGTGTGTCAGAGGGGAGAGAGAGAGAGATTGTGAGAGAGGAGAGAGAGAGAGATTGTGAGAGAGGAGAGAGGGAGAGAGAGAGAGAACGAGACAGGGTGAGGGAGAGAAAGATAGTGAGAGACGGTTTGAAGGAGAGAAAGATAGTGAGAGGGAGAGATAGTGAGAGAGAGAGAGAGAGAGAGAGACAGTATCAGGAGAGAGAACCAGTGGGAGGAGAGAGAGAGAGAGAGTGAGGGAGATGGGGGAGGGAGTGAGGGGAGGGGGGGGGAGTGGGGTAATGAGAAAGGGAGAGAGGAGAGGGGTGAGTGGGAGAGAGATAAGTGGCAGATTATCAGCCCAAGACACCCCCCCCCACCCCCCACACCGCTCCCCCCCCCCCATCACCGACAACGCTGAGCGAGATCTTTAATGTCCGCCCCGAACGGGGCACGGACGGGGAGTGAGATTTTATGGTCTCACCCGAAGGACGGTGTCTCTGACAATGTGGAGCTCTCGCCCACACCCCACCCCCCCCGCCCCGCCACCCCCCCCCCTCCGCCCCGCCGCCACCCCCCCCCCAATTGGCTGTGGCGTTTCGCCCACAAAATACGCAGTCGCTACACTTCGCAGTATATTCTGTGAAGCGCTTCGAGACGACTCAGCAACTGAATGAGGCGCTACATCAAATGCAAGGATTATTATTACTTTTTTATTTTATTATTATTATTATTATTATTATTATTATTATCCTGGGGTGGGGTGTAAGCGGGTTCTCCCTGAAGCTGAACCGGCTCCAAGGTGACATGTTTGGCAACGGACTGTCAACAACAACAACAACAACAAGTTTGCATTTGTAGAGCGCCCTTCACGTCGGGAGGACGTCGCGAGGCGCTGGACAGTTGGGTCGGGACTCAGCCGGCCCTCGGTGACGGTCTCCAGTCATTGGGCACCTGAGGCAGGCGGGTCCGCAGTATCCGCTAACAGCACAGCCCGGCTTGGCTCACCGGCAGGAACCGGAAGGGCAGACCAATCGCTGGCGGCAGGGAGTCAATCCGCTCAGCTCCCGTTAACCCCGCAAGCCAAAGCCTCAAATGGGTTGGGTGGTCCCAGCTGGAGAAGCAGTGGGAAAGATTGCCAGGACAGCGCTCTCGATGGCGAGCTGCGTGGTTTTAGCTGGTTAGACTCCAGCAGTCACCCCAACGCACACACTCTGAGCTCAGCAAGCCTCGGCTCTTAAGCATCCTGTACCTGATGCTCTCCGGAATGAGGTAAGCGTGATGCGTCCCTCCAGGGAAAGTGAGAGTGCGACTTCCAAACGATCTGCAATGGGAATTTCCATGTGTAGGTGGGCTGCACACGGATCTGTTTGGTTTGGAGGTTCTTGAGCGTGACGACGGGTCGCCGCATGTTTCAGTCACCCGGTTAAGCAAAACAAAAAGAGAGGAAGAGTGAGGGAGAGTGTGGAATAGAGGAGAGAAAGGAAGGAGGAGAAAAAGAGGAGGAAAAATAGGAAAAAAAAAAGGAGGAGGAGGAGAAAGAGCAAGAGATATACTTAGATGAAAGATGAGCTGAACGAGAGGAGAAGGAAAAGAGAGAGCAGAGAGGAAGAAATATATAGAGAGAGGATGGAGCGAGAAGCGGGAAGAAGAGGTAGGAGGAAAAAGCGGAGAAAGAGGGAGAGTAAGAAATATTTATACAGAGAGAGGAGAAAAAAAGAGATGAGAGGAAGAGAGAGACACAGAGAGGCAGAGTGAGAGGAGCTTGAAATTGATCTGTTTGGTAATTGGGAACCAGTGGAGATTGGCAAGGACTGGAGTGGAGTGATTAGGGTACGCAGTTTTGTGCTCTCATATTCTTTCATACACACTCACTCTCTCACACTTTCTCTCACGTTCTTCCTCACACTCACACGCTCTTTCTCCCTCTCAATCTCTCTTTCGCTAAAATTGTTTTAAAAGGAAAGATGCAAAAAAAAACTGAGACAAATGCGAAAATACGCTGTGAAAAAATACCCCCAAAAAACGAAAAATTAATTGCTGAGAAAAAACACACAAAGAATGGAGTGTGAAAAAAAATGTAAAAAATGGGGGAAAATAATAATCATAATAATCCATGCATTTGATATAGTGCCTTATCATGCCTTCAAGATGTCTCTTCACAGCCCTTCAACAACAACAACAACTTGGATTTATATAGCGCCCTCCACGCCGGACGGCGTCTCAGAGCGCTTCACAGTAACGGATCCCAGGACCGAGCCAGGGGGAGGGGGGGGGAAGGTGACCAAAGGTGCGGTCGAAAAGAAAGGTCTTCAGCAGAGACCTGATAATAGAAAGGGAGGGAGCGAGACTAAGGGAGTCAGGAAGGCAGTTCCAGAGCCTCGGGGCATAGTGGCTGAAGGCACGGCTGCCGAGGGTGGAGCGGAGGACTCGGGGGACAAGGAGGAGGCCAGACCTGGAGGAATGGAGGCAACGGGCACTGTTTTGAAGAGGGAGGAGGTCAGAAAGGTAGGGGGGTGCAGAGGAGTGCAGGGGCTTGAATACAAGGGTGAGGATCTTGAAATCGATCCTCTCCGGGATAGGCAGCTAGTGCAGTCTGGCGAGGACTGGGGTGGTCGGGGAGCGGAGTTTCATGCGGATGGGAATGCGGGCGGCAGAGTTTTGAATGATTTCACAGAATATACTGTAGAATGATTGACCCTATAATTGTGGAGGCCAATTGCGCACAGCAGTATCCCACAAACATTTGCGATTGAGTGACTAGGCTTTGCAGTATTTCCTGTAAAGTGTTGTGACTCTGTATCTCATTTTAAAGTTATATTAAAAATGAAAATTGAAAATGAAATGAGTCAGCCTCACTGATTTAGATTTGATTTCTTCAAAGACAAAATATACCTTCGCCCACAAAATATAGTGTCAATTCACTTTACAGTATATTCTGTGAAGCGCTTTGGGACGTCCTCCCGACCTGAAAAGCGCTATATCAAATGCAAGGATTATTATTATTAGGGTTGTTATTATTATTATTCTTCACTTTAGTTCTCACCATCATCAGTGATATTTCCAAACCAGTAAGAATAGTTATTGCTTACAATCCCTACTGTGCACAGCTCTGAAAATGAATATCCTGCTGTTCATTGTAGCTCAGTGGTTAGAGCACTCGCTTTGGAAGTGAGAGACCTGAGTTCAGTTCCAGGCAGAGGGCGAAACCTTGGGCAAGTTTCCTAACTCCACACACCTAATAATAATCCCTCCAAAACAAAACAATAATAAATTGGTCATTTTCAATCTACGACTGTTTGTGGGACATTGCTGTGCGCAATTGGCTGCTGCATTCGCCCACAAATATACAGTCAATTCACTCTATAGTATATTCTGTGAAGTGCTTTGAGACGTCTAGAAGATATGAAAAGCGCTATATCAAATGCAAGGATTATTATTATTATTATTATTATTATTAATAGAGACCAAGGAACACTGACAGATGGACGCATTGCGAATTTTGATTGCCATGGTAACTACGATTAATGATATCGGAAGTAGAAATGCAGCCAGTTTAAGAAATACAACCACTTTTGCATTCTTGAAAAAAAAAATGGCTTGGGCACTTAAAATAGCACATCGTTCAAGGCAAACATTAAAATGAAGGAAATCTTTTAACGTGATACATCAGATCTGTTGAATAAGAGGAGTGGGAGTCCTGCAGCGCAGCGGTCAGAGCGCTCGCCTCGCAAGCGAGGGACCTGGGTTTGATCCTCGGGCAGGGCCAAATGAAATGTTGGGCAAGTCGCCTCTGGTTACCCAGCAGCAAGTAGGAACCCCGCTTGTTAGTCGATTGGCGGATCGCTTTTCTGGGAGCGTAATAATTCCTTCCCAAAAAAAAACCAAATAAATTGGTCGCTTCAATCCACGACTGACTGTTTGCGGGGGACGCTGCGGTGCGCCGTCGGCCGCCGCGTTTCGCCCACGAGAACACGCGGTCGGTCGGTTCACGTCCCATCGCTTCGCAGCACGTTCTGCGAAGCGCTTTGAGACGTATTGTTTTTTACGAAGGAACGCAAAAAGATGGGGGTGATGGTGGGGGGGAGTGGGGTAGTGGGGGGGGGGAGCGTGATGACGTTCACGCGGCGAGCTCGTTGGCGTCGTTGCCGGGACGACCTGACGCAGTCGCCCGGTGGCGCTGGGCGCATGCGCGCTTTCCACAGCCTCAGGCGGGGAATCGCATCAAGATGGCGGCGGCGGCTGCCTGGTAACCAGGAGTCCGCGGAACATAGCAACGGCGGCGGTGGCGCCCGCAGCATGCGCTCCACCAAGGTAACGGGTGAAAGCCGAGGAGCTGTCTGTCTGTCTGTCTGGTTGTTGTTGTTTCCTCCCGGTCAACGCCGTTGGGGTCCGAATAAGTCTCGTGTAAAGGGTGACAGAGGCCCCGGGGGAGGAATGGAAGCCTGGAATTGGGGAATGGGGCGATGCGGGGAGACTGGCGCCGATCGGGGGTGGGGTTGGGGTTGGGGGTTGTCCTCCTCACCCGGGCTGCGAGCTTGGGAAGAGGAGGGGTACATCCCGTGGCAGGACCCCGGGGGTTCGATTCCCGCCCGGGCCGAGGGCCCAAGGCATCATCAGGCAATGTTTCCTCACTCCGCACCTGACCACCTCTGGTGACTCGGCAGTAAGTGGGAACCCGTGTGGTTTTTTTTTTAGTCGATCGGCGGATCGCTTTCTCGGGAGCAAACGATCCCTTCAAAAAAAATAATAATGATGATTCGGTCACTCAATCCCCCGCGGCTTCTGTGTGGGTGCAGTTTGTGCTGCGTCTCGTCCACACTTTTCAGTATATTCTGCGAAGCGCTTTGAAACGTCTCAACCGCGCGATAAGGCGCTATATTAAACGCAAGGATTGTTATTAAGGGAGAGGGGGAGATGTGCATTAATAATAGTAATCGTTGCATTTGATACAGCGCTTTTCACGTCTTCTTAGACGTCCCAAAGCGCTTCACAGAACACACTGTAAAGTGAAGTGACTGTATATTTGTGGGCGAACGCGGCAGACGATTGCGCACAGCAATGTCCCACAAACAGTCGTGGATTTAAAATGACCGATTTATTATTGTTTTTGGTTTTGGAGGGATTATTATTAGGCTCTGTGTGGAGTAAGGAAACTTGCCCAAGGTTTCGCCCTCTGCCTGGAATTGAACTCAGGTCTCTCACTTGCAAAGCGAGTGCTCTAACCACTGAGCTACAGGACTCCACGATAAGATTGATAATAATAATCCTTGCATTTAATATAGTGCTTTATCACATCGTTGAGACGTCTCAAAGCGCTTCCCAGAATATACTGTAAAGCGAATTGATTGTATATTTTGTCGGCAAAACTTGTGATTGTGATGATGCACCATCTGAATCGTTTGAGACTGGAATACATTCTTCTCAATTTTCTATTTGAGAGTACAAGGGAGAGCCTTGGCTAACAATTTTCCACATTAGTTGATAGCCACCTGGCAGTTTTGTGGGATTTTGCTGGTGCAAATAGTTGCATATGACTGCCATACGGCTATTTGTTATGCACAAATTGGTTGCCAGCTTTTGTCTGTATTTGCAGGCAAAAGCAGTCGCCAATCTGCGCATGGCAAAGTCCCACAAACAGCCAAGAAATGAATGAACAACTGCATCTGGGGGATTGTTAGCAAAGACAAACTAACTCCCTCTGTTTTTGAACAATACCGTGGGATCTTGGTTTAATGTCTCATCCAAAGGATGATACCTCCAATTCTTGATGTGGGACTTTAACCCACAGCCTTCTGATTCGGCGGTGAGAGTGTTATTAACTAAGCTAGGCTGACACCCTATCAATTATAAATACCAAATGTCAAAATCAGATGGTGTTTTGGCCCAATTTGATGTGGCTTGGACAGAAATGTTTAAATCCGGCTTCATATCTCTATAACTGCTGGAAACAGAACAACTTTGTGCCTTGTGTTACAAACACAGTACCACAATGATTTATGACTGATAGAATTAACAAAGAATGGAATATTCTATATAATAGGGGTTTGTCACACATGGAGGCAGAGCATATTGCTTTCCATACAGTAAACTAATAACTCATCCCTGGTTTAACTGTCAGCACCACTTAAGTCATCATACTGTCAATATCCCGTCCAGATTTGTTTGTGCATTGATACATATGTCTAACTCGTCACTCCGGATTACTCGTCCATGGGCTCTTTTTTCTTGGAGGGATAAGTTATCAGGAGTTTTGCTTGGACTACGACTTTTCACCCCAAATTCATTAGAAGGTTGAGTTTACTGAGAAATGAAACAATGGGGTAAGGAGGGCCACTCTCTGTTTCCCCCATCAATATTATGTAGCAATAGCAGCATCTGGTTGGAGAATGAACGATAAAATAAGTTAGCAATAATTATTGTAACTGTTACAAGTCACCAAGTGTTCATATATTTTCCTTTGAATTGTTCTTTTTACATAATTTCAATGATTCATGTCATGTCAACACTCTCAATCAAAAACATTATTATGATTTTTAAAAAACATAGTAATGTTTTTTGCTGAAAATACAGTATTTTCATTTTGTTTCTTTCAACATTGTGCAGAATTTAGTAAATAAATCTAGCAGTAAGTAGGAACCCGATAGTTAGTCGATTGGCAGATCGCTTTTCCAATTTTCCAGGGGTAATAATTCCTTAAATAATCGTACATTGCTTTTCCAATAGTTTCTTCATGCAAGTTAATATAGAAAGATTTAATGAGTAGCATTTGTGTCTGTAAATACATTTTTAAACATTCCACAACAATTTTTAATAACTACTTCTGTTTTTACTTTTCTTTCAGCGGAAAACCAAAGAAGACACTTGGAAATCAGAAGAGTTGCTGAGGCATCTTAAAGTAATTATTGATTATAAAATCTGGTGCAGTCATTGAGCAGTCATAACAGAAGGATGAGACAGGAAGGGGAGGAAGAGAAGGCATATCATTACTAGTTGCTTCACAGATATGTCTCAAGTTGATCATGGACCAGACTCACAACACTGTATGAATGTAGAATAAGTTGTGAGGTTAGAATAGTGTGTTCTTTCTGAAAACAAAAGATTAATCTGGAATAATGGATTGTCGGAGGTGAATTGTAAGCGTACATTTAAGACAGATTTATTTTTTAGTTTAGATATAGGCACAAATGGTGCAATTAGAAATGAATGCTTATTGCACTGTTGATTTAATGAACTTTAGTAGTGTGAACTATGCCTGTAATGTTGAGTGCTATACAAGTTACTGGTGGGCTACAGATAGTATGAAATGTATGGCATATTCTCTTTACTTTGGTCTGCTTTGCAGAAGTCCATTGCCATACTTAAGAGTTAGTGTTCACGTGCGCCTGTTGTGAAATGCAGTTGACTTGAGACTCACTGATTGCCATTGTACATGTCATAACCTGTGCTGCATTTATTTGCGCTTCACCATTCACTTGAGTTCTCTCGGAGTGTTATTGTCAATATTGTGTCAAGTCATTGACTCTTTTATGCTGTGGGCCATGTTAGCTGAGAACTAGGTTGAGACTAATTTATTCGGTTTCTACTCATCTCAGCCAATAGAAAGAAACAAAAGCATTCTGAATCCAGCCTCTAGAGGTAATGAAATAACATTTAATATGTATTTGCTGTGTCTGTGTGGCACGGACAGCCTGTTTTCCCACTGAAATCAACAATTGCTACATGATACCAGTTTCTGTGACTAATAATAATAATCCTTGCATTTAATATAGCATCTTATCACGTCTTTGAGACGGCTCAAAGCGCTTCACAGAATATACTGTAAAGTGAATTGACTGTATATTTTGTGGGCAAAACGTAGCAGCCAATTGCACACAGCAGTGTCCCACAAACAGTCGTGGATTGAGTGACCAAATTGTTTTTAAAAATGTATTTAACGAATTATTACCCCTGGAAAAGCGATCTGCCAATTGACTAACTATCGGGTTCCTACTTACTGCTAAGTAAACAGGCGTGTGGAGTAAGGAAACTTTGCCCAACATTTCGCGCTGCCAGCAATTGAACCCAGGTTTCTCGCGAGGTGAGTGCTCTAACCATCAAGCTACAGGACTCCATGATATGTATGATTGTAGGTTCCCCATGGACTAAATTGATTATGTCTCATTCTATAAATAAAACTCAATTGGGGTACCAGATAGTAGTACTAACTCATATACATCAGAAATCTGCATGTCTGATTTTTCAGTTTATATTAAAATTCTTGGTGTAGTATTTAAGAAACTTCAATTGACCTGTGGGCTGGGGAGGGGTAAATTCAGTCAGGACATTACCAATGCTTAAAAAGAGTAGAATAGAAACCAAATAAATCAAGAAAATATGTTTTTTTTTAAAAAAAAGTATATAGATTGTACAAAGCAGGGACGACTGGGAGTTCTACAGTCTTGAGTTCTGGGGAAAGAATGAGTTAAGAGTAGGAGAAAGTATGATTAGTCTTGATTTTAATCACCATATGGTGTAGGGAGGAAGATAAGCACATGCAAGATTATCTTTCTCCTCCCCACACTTACTGTGTTTAAAATCTTTGAATCAGAGAAGCAGTAACCTTAGTAGTGTTGATTTTGAAATAGGGAGAAGCAGGCAAGATTGTGACTGAACAAGGAAGTATGGAGGCTGGAGGTGAGGTAAGGATCACAAATCAGATGATGACCCTTCGCTTGTATTTTGTCAGGAGAGCAAGAGAAGTATTCGATGACGTTCCCCAGTTATGGGGCACTATTCAAGTCAAAAAGAGGCCAGTGTTGCACCATGCATTTGCTTCATTATTTTGAGATTCTGGGAGGATCTCTACAATACGTTCCCCCAGGATATAGGGTGGGTGGGAACCCATGGTTGTAGAACAGACGTGCTTCAAAGGCCTGTTTTCCGTACCTTATTTGCTTATTACATCCTAACTGAAAGGTGTGTAGGATAGTTCAATAAAATACTTATTTATTCCTATTTGACACCGATGAGTAAGGCCATTTGAATGGGAGGGTGGGTGATGATGTAGCAGCAACAACAACTTGCATTTATGTAGTGCCCTTCACATAGTATTATGTCTCTAAGCTCGTCATAATGACCGGGTTGAGTGCTGAGCAAGGGAGAAGGGGGAAAGGGACGATAGGTACCGTTGAAGAGTTAAGTTTTTAGGTGGTATTTAAAGACAGATTTAAAGGTGAACTAAAGGTGTAGGGAGGGAGTTCAGTATGTTAAGGGATATAGTAGTTGGAGGCTCGGCCCCAACTGGTGGCATGAGGGACAAACAGGAAGCCCAAGTTAGTTAAGCAGGCATGGAGAGGAGTGGGGTAGGAGAAGATTATAGAGATAGGAAGGTGGGAGAGAGTGAAGGCATCACAACCAAACCTAAATATCTATGTAAAAGTGAAATCAGTTTGGCTGAAGTATAGAAATGAAAAAGCTACTTTTGTTTTCTATGTTTTCAGGCAGCTCAGGGAGATCATGCAGAAGAAGCTGATGCAAAGAGCAGAGAAAGGAGAAAGAGTAAAGTTGAGGAAGCGAGTGGTGTCTCTGAATCTAGGGAGCGTCGACCCAAGGAAAAGGAAAAGGACTATCATAAAGACAGAGTGAGGGACAAAGACAAGGACCGGGAGAAACATAAAGACAGGGATAGAAACCAAGAGGAGGATCCAAAAAGAGAAAGGGACAGAGAGCCTAAAAAAGATAGGGACAGAGAGCGACATGGGGACAGAGACAGTGAAAAGGACCAAATTAAAGAAAGAGATCGAGACAAGGATAAGATCAGAGATAGAGAAAGAGAGAGACAAAAGATAAGGTTAGGAGCCAAGAAAGTGATCCAAACCCAAGAGTTTTTGATGAAGATGGAGAGAGAGATGCTCATATAGACAGACATAAAGAGAGGGATAAAAAGTCTGAGAAAGACAGGGAAAAAGAAAAACCTAGGAAAAAAGAAAAGGATCGACATCGGGAACGAGAAAAAGAGCGAGAACATGAGAATGGCGGCAAACATTCAAAACATCGACCCAGAAAAGAAGATGAAGGTATAATTGCTATGTTTGTATTTAATGTAGTAAAGTTAAAGTTAGATTTTTGCTAATATTTGTTACTGAATTTATCATTGGATAAAGAGTTTGCTTTTCAAAGAGATTATCTCTCATAACATTTCTGTGGTTTTAAAATCAATGTTTCTCTCGCCCTTATAAAAAAGATTCTTGTAATTCCACATAGCAAATGTGTTTCATTTATAACTTTAACTTTATTATTGATTTCCTTTAAAAAGTAAACAAAAAGTTACTACTCAATGTTTAGTTGATTTAAAGATATCGCCTTGAGGTGGCTTTCTGCGTGCGTGCGCAGTGAATGCAAAGCACGGACAGGGATTTTACCATGGACTTCCACTATAGTTAATTAAACTTGGTGAAGACAACAACAACAACAAATTATATTTGTATAGTGCCTTTCACGTCAGGAGGATGTCCCAAGGCGTTGGACAATCAGGGATCTGCACCAGAGCTGATCACTGCTTCCACGGACCGTGCAGTTATACCAAGAAATAAATTTAATTTCTCAGAACAAATATACCGCCTTAATAGAATTGACCCATGCTGTGGAAACATCAAGATGAAACCTTCTTTTCAAGTGATTGAAATTCAAGCTGCGGAATTGAAATATGAGCTTGTTCCAGTTTTCAGCTCCAATGAATTCCACGCATTGGAGAGAACTTGAAGATTTATTGCAAAATATCTTAGAAATATGAGTCCTGAAAATTCTGGCAAATTAAGATAGATTCCAGATTAAACATTCTGTTGATCGAACATGTTCAAGCCATGATTTCGTAGCTTGATATTATGTTCTTAAGTACTCCCTCGAATTATCTCTCAAATTGAAAAATGTGACTTCTGACCTACAAATGTCATCTATGTGTAATGATCAAGTCTTCACTGGAATTTGTGAATTTATATGGGTGTTGAGACCATTTAGAAGATTGTTTCAGTGGAGTTCCCAGCTCCGTCATTGGCTTGATGGGATGAATTGCCTCTTTCTGTACTGTAATTTCTGCGATGCTATTTCTTTAAGAATCATTCTCGATTTCTCGCTCTGCCTTGTATCCTGCCTCACTGCTTTCCTTCTGCTCCACCAGTTGAACAGTCACTTGAAACATAAATCAGGCTTGATCCTCAGATGTCTTTCCTTCCCCATATCTGGTCCCTGACAAGGACTGCTTTCCTCCACTTCCTGCCTCCGATTATACCTCACACCTGACACACCTAACTCTTACCCACGCATTTGTCACTTCCCGACTTGATTTTTCCAGTGCTCTAATTGCCAGTCACCCCAGCTCCACCATTCATAAAACCTAATTAATTCAAAACACCACCACTCGTAGCCCCAACTTTGCAACCTCTGCCTTACCGGTAGCACTCTCACCTCTGAGTCAGAAGGTTGTGATTCAAGGCTCACATCGGGAGTTGAACTTGCATGTTCTAGGTGCTTCAGATGAGACATTAAGCCAGCGATGGCCAACCTTTTGCTGAGGTTTGCCATGGTGTGAGCACAAGACATATCGCGGTGCCAATAAAAAAAATTAAAAAGAAAAATATTACAGGAAAAGAACGATGCATTTATTAGGCAATTCGCCATAAAATATCATACAATTCACCTAATGAGGTTTCTGAATTTTTTTGTTTTTAATATCTTCAATATTTGGATTCAGTTTTGAGCAACCCTATAGAAGAAGATTACTAAGGTGATCTTCTGTTAGTTTGGAACAGTATTTATTTTTTCTGAAATTCATGGTGGAAGAGGACTGCTCACAGGTGTAGGTTGATCTGAACCTGCACAGATTAGTATTGACTATTATTAGTCGATATTATTAATATTATTATTAATGTTGTTAATTATTATAATTAGTATTAGTATTAACCTTGTTGGCATTTGGGGTGAGCGAGATTTGGGGGAGGCCCCTGCAGGGTAGGGGTCTCACTCTCTCTTTGTCTCTCTTTCTACTAACTTTCTCTTTCTCTCAGACTCTTTCTATCTCTCTCACTCAATTTCTCTCACACAACACACTCAGTCTCTCACACTCTTGCTCTCCAACACACACTCTTCCTCTCACACTCACTGTCTTCTCTTTCACACAGTCCCTCTTTCACGCACTTTTTCACTCTCACACACACTCTTTCTGTGCTGGCGTCCACGCTGCTGCTGCTCTGGATGTGGTGAGCGGAGCCAGTGGATAAGGGGGGTTCGGCTGGCAGGTGAGGGGTTGTGGCCAGTGGGTGAGGGGGTACAGCTGGCGGGTGAGGGGCTGCGGCAATGATGTCCCTTCAGCGCAGGATCCAGCAATTGTTGCTGTTGGAGTTATTTTTAAAATGTGTTGCGGGCCACTACTAAGGGCATGGCTGCCACCTTGTAGCACGTGTGCTGCTGGTTGGCCACGACTGCATTAAAGCACCTGTCTGTTCAGGTTAAAGATCCCATGACACTATTTGAAAAGAGAAGTTGGTTTCTTCCAAGTTGGGCAATAATCACCCCCAAAAAAAATAACTATTTGGACATTGCTGTGCTCAATTGGGCTGCCGCGTTTGCCAACAACTTCACTTCACAATAAATCCTTATGCACTTTGAGATGTGCTACCGACGTTCAAGCGCTATACTAAACGCAAAGGTTATTATTATCTGTTTTTCATATGTAAACTACTTGTGTATTTTATTGTGATTACATCTAGCAGTTAGGACTAAAGGTTTCTAGAGGGTTAGAGCTGGATGTCCTGGGAAGGACATGGTGCTTATCGAATATTTCTGTCCAATTGTGATGTTTCAGAAAATGGAGACACTCCAAAATCTGACAAATTTGAAGAAAAAGAGAGAAAACATCGAGAAAAAAAGGCAAAGGAGGGAACTGACGTGAGTGAATCAACTTTATTTTCTTTAAATTTTGCAATTGTTTTTTACTTTTCCTCTCATAAATAATGATCTTTAGTAATTGTTGCATTTGATATATAGTTCCTTATCATGTTGAATCTTCTCAAAGACTTCACAGAGTTTTCTATAAGGATAGTGACTGTATATTTGTAGGCGAATATGGTAGCCAGTTTATACCAAGCAGTGTCCCCAAACAGCTATGAAATGAATGACCAACATTTTATCTGGGGGATTGTTGACCAGGATAAAAGCTCCCTCATCTTTTTGAATAGTGTCTTGGGATCGTCAAAGTCACCTGAACAGGCAGATCTGGCCTAATCCTTACCTTTGATTTAGTGCCTTTCACATCAGGAGGATACTGCAAAGCACTTTGCAGATTATATACTTAAACCCCGGCTAGCTGGATTAATGAGGGGGTAGTTCTGGTCTGACGAGCCAGAATTAATGGCTAAGTGTAAGTGTAATTACAATGCTGAAACCGAAGTTTCTCCCCGTGGCCAACAAATCCCTCAATTAATATTGGTCACTCACTCCATGGTTGCTTGTGAGACATTGCTGTGAGCAACTGGCTGCTGCGTTTCACTCACAAAATACACGGTCAATCCATTTTACAGTTTATCCCGTGAAGCGCTTTGATACGTCTCAACGACGTGATAAGACATTATAAAAAGTATTTTTACTACTTAACAGATCAGTGAGGAGAGTCGAGAAAAGAAAAAGAAAGATGAAAACCGTGAACGACGACACAGAGAACATAAGGAGCGTGAGCACGATTCCCGGGGAACTGATAGAGAAAAGCGATACAAAGAAAAGAAACCTGTGCAGGAAACACCGAGTGAAGAAACAGATGGGAAACATCAAGAGGAAAGAGAGAAAGGACATGGGAACAAAAGGCATAAAGATACAAAAGAATCAAATGCAGAATCTGGTGACATGGAGCGGGAGCACAGAGACAAACAGAAACAAAATGAAAGAAACGAAAATCAACAGCGACGACATAAAGAGAAGGAAAAGGAGAAACTAGGATGGGAAACAGAGCCTAATGAGGTTAGTTTTTTTTTCCAAATCATCTGCAAATCATTTTCTTTTTAGACCATATACCTTTAATTTTGTACAAATAATATTCTTCCTTTTCAAGATAATGAACTGCAAATCACAGCAAGAGACTAGGCAATACCAATATCTTGGAGTCCTGTAGCTCAGTGGTTAGAGCACTCGCTTTGCAAGTGAGAGATCTGGGTTCGTTTCCAGGCAGGGCGAAACCTTGGGCAAGTTTCCTTACTCCATACGCCTAATAATAATCCCTCCAAAAAAAAAAAAACAACAATAAATTGGTCATTTTGAATCCATGACTGTTTGTGGGACATTGCTGTGCGCAATTGGCTGCCGCGTTCGCCCACAAATATACGGTCAATTCACTTTACAGTGTGTTCTGTGAAGCGCTTTGGGACGTCCTCCCGACGTGAAAAGCGCTATATCAAATGCAAGGATTATTATTATTATTATTATTATTATTATCTTTCAGAAGCCAGTTCCTTCAAGTGCAACATTGAAATTTGGTCGTGGGGCAAATACTTTCATTATACTCAAACTTTCCTCCCTAAATATTTTTATCCTGAGGTCGAGTAATTATAATAATGATAATCCTTGTATTTGATATAGCACCTTATCACATCATTGAGGCATCTCAAAGCGCTTCACAGAATATACTGTAAAGTAAATTGGCTTTGTATGTTGTGGGCGAAATGTACAATAAACCATCAGGAAAAAATATATACATAATAAAGTACTGCACTCTAACTTTGATGGATTCAGTGGTCTCAAGCAAGTACTTCCAACGCTGCATTATTTTTCAAAAGTCTTGAACTAATCCATAGGAATGTACATACAAACTCATAAATTAAAGACATTTGCCCCATCGCTTGCCGTCTTCAAAGCCCGTCTCAAGACCTTCTATTACCATGCCTTTGGTCATCTTCCCACTCCCATTCTACTTGGCTCCCACCCTTCTCGATTCCTACCCCCACTTTGGGTGCGAACCCTTGACTGTCCAGTGCCTTGGGACGTCATCCCAAAACGAAAGACGCTATATGAATGCAATATGTTGTTTGTTGTTGTTTTTGTGATCACGCAAATACATAGTGTTTACTGTGTTGAGAAATGCTGTTGTTTTGCGTACCCTTTCCAATTTAGACATGATATACTTACACTAATATAGCTTAGATTGGTAAGTTTTAGCCCATATTATTTTGGAAATCAATTTTAAATAGAAAATTGTTTTGCAAAATAATCAGAATAGTTGGAGTGCTACAATTGGCTGAAAAAATGCTTTCTTTTGTGACAGTCAAAAACCAACTATTTAAAAAATTCTGGTCAGGGCCCTGGTCCTATTAAACCAAGGTCCTATCTGCCTGTCCAGATAGATGTTAATGATCCCACAACTCTATTCAAAAAGAAAAGGGAGTTTCTCCCGGTGTCCTTCCAACCTCCAAAAAAGTGGTCATTCACTCCATGGCTGGTTGTGGGACATTGCCACGGAGTGAGTATATCCTGTGAAGCACTTTGAGACATCTCGAACATGTATAAGGTGCTCTATCAAATGCAGTGTTATTTATTATTATTATTATTTTCTCCTATTCTCTGTATTGGCAGTAATATGCAAACAACTGCAAATTACGGCATTTTCTATTCAACAGCTGGTTGAGTGAACTTGCTCTGTAAATTATCAGAGCAGGGCTTTTACAACCAGAAGACTTGAATCCTACAGGTTACTTTTAGATGGATATAAATGGGAATAGCTCACTTTTGGAAAGAGTTGTAGTCATTATCAATTTTTAGCACTCTTTTTGAGAGAGGGTGTTCTATATTAAATAGTTTCTTTTCCTCTCTACCAGAGTGATATTCCCCTCTAAAATGGTCAGTTTGCATACTTACTCAGTCAAAATTGTCAGATATTAGCATGGTGCTAATGCAATGGAAACCGTCTATTAACATTGCATTTATTTCACTGCTGAGATGAAACAGGACAAGAAAGACAAAAGTACAAGGAAGGTAAATTCTTAAATTTTGAAATCGACTCTGTGCCATCTTGTGCACTATGTAAAACCTGAGAAAATGTTCCTTTTTTTTAAAAGAGAAACAACAACATTCTCTGTATAGTTTTGTAACCGGTATGGACTTCAGAGGTGTCCACAGTGAGGACTGTGTCAGCTGTGTCACGTCTATTGTGTGAAGGAATTACATTTCCTCTTGGTGCAATAATACAGTGTTACAGTGCAGCAGCACGTGATCAGAACTCTTTGAGCAGTCGTGTCACTAAATAAACTGACACATTAGTTGTCCAGGGTACAGTTTCCCTTTTAAAACACAACTTTAATATTTGAATGATGTAATTCCTGATGCATTTTGGTGTAAAGCAGTAGATCGATAATTGGAATCTCTTGGGGCTAATGATATGGTAATTTGGGAGATATATTACATTTGGAACTTTGTTATGTTGTGGGTCTGTAAAAATCAATAATGCCTGTGCAAGGATTTGGTTCAGAAATGTAGTTATCACAGAAGGTGACCGTTGTATTGTTTTTAAACACGTGTTTCTTTCTCTAGGAGATTGAAAAAGAGGAGATTATTGTGGAAAAGCCATCTGTTGTTGAATCATCACAATATGAAGATGACTTTGAGGTATTTGCTGTTGTACTAGCCTGTAGGGGAATGGACAGCATGGATGATTTACTTTAAAAATGGAGATAGTGTTCAGATTTATTTCCAGTGTGTAAGATCAATACACTTTCAGACCCACTCCCCAATGAGTTGTGATTCTCCCCAATGATTCCCACTGTGGCACTACCATTGTGTTTGGTGGGATAGACTAAGACAGATCTGGCAGCATGAAACTGAATATCCATGCCTTGACTTTTCAAATGCACTCGCAAATCCTCATGTGCACCAAGCTCTGCACGTCATTCATCGTAGTTCTCGCCACGCGTACAGTTTTAAAGGGCAAATTTAGGACAGTTACCAAGAAGTTTTTCTTTACTCCGAAGGTATCAACAATTCAAACAGGCTGCCAGGAAAGTTGTTTGAAGCCAGGACGAATCTTGATGCTGTGATTTGGGGGATGGGGTTAGAGTAGGTATTCTGGAAGGATGAGATTGGACGGGCCAATAGCCTTCTTCATCCAAAGTGATCTTGTGATATACGTTTGTGGAAGAGGTTGGGGGGAGAGAATTACAAATGGATAAAAGTTAATTTTGGTTAATTCTTTGTTCCTTTTATGCAAAGGACTATGCTGATGATTTTGAGGAAGATGAAGATGAGGAGGATGAAGATGGTGAGCTTCAACGAGAGGATGAGATTCCAGCATATAAACGAGCTGAAATTGAAGAAATTCAGAGAGCAATTACTGCAGAAAATGAACGGATCTTCACAATACAAAGAAATACTGGAATCGGAGGACAGACATGCGAGAAAGAGCCTAAGAGCGGTACTATAAGATCTTACATTATGGATACCATCTAATTGGTATTCCAATAGATCACAGAGTTTTGTTGTGCTAAAATAGTTCAGTCGTTCAAGAAAATGTGTGTGTATATGTGTATCTTCTATCTTCACTAATAAAATGACAATGTCCGTCTGCGCTTCAAGAAGGATCTCAATAACCGATTGATGTAGAGACATGATTTATACCTCATCGGAAAGGTATTGAAACTGGGAGTGATATGGGAATATTTGTTTTTGGGTATCTCCTATCGTTCATATATTTTCAGTTTTGCGTCTTTCGCTGCAGTTACGCCTGGTGGCTGCCGAGTTAAAGTGGAGCTGTGGCATTGTGTGTCACAGAGCACCTACGCATGTACACACACACTGCAGTTACACCTGGTGGCCACGCCAGCTGACCGTGGTGCTGTGACATCCTGTGTCACAGAGCCCGCATGTAGCCAAGTGGTGGGAACAAAATAAAGAACCCAGACGAAGCTAAGCTGCGGCAACAACAACAAAATTTAATTTTTGAAGCACTGAGTCCTCCCACTGAGTCCTCCCAAAAGGAGGCCGCCCAAAAGGGGTCCTCCCACAGGAGTCCTCCCAGATGAGTATATATAAAGATGAAATGTCTGTCTGTGTGTCTGTCAGTGTGTCAATCTACATTCCATATTGGATCCTTTAGATACAAGCGTAGCTGCAACAGGTACAGCTAGTTTTTAATACACTCAAATCATAATTTGATCTAAATGGGATCAAAATTGTGGTATTCCAAAGTATTTCTTAATTATGGAAATAGTTTAACGTGTTGTGAAATATCAGACATGCACACTCTGAGATATACTAGCCTGGAAACTCAGCTGCAAATGTTGCAACATGTTAAAATAAAATAATCTTTACATTTGATATAGCATCTTTCACATCGGGAGGGTGTCTCAAAGCACTTTGACTGTAAAGTGCAGTGACTGTGTATTTTGTAGGTGTATTTTGTTTTTAACTTTGTACTTTTTATACAAGTTTGGGTTAGAACTTACGCATAATCATTTATTTTGTTTGCATGTAAATTCATTGTTTTCCAAATCAGATGCAAAGGAATCGAAAGAATCTCAGCAAAGAAACCCAGCTCGAGGAACATTCATTGACTTTGTATCGGCAAAGAAGCGGGAGGTTAGCCGCAAAGCAGCCAACAGGCAAAAGTGGGTAATAGCAATACGTACATACTGCTTCATATTCTATCTTCCTCAACATTTGTGCCTGTTCATTTAGATTTTTAATCTATCACTTGAATTTTGATTTAACAACTGCTTCTATCAGAATTTGATTTCAGTTTCAGAGAACTCAAATAACAAGTTATTTTAACCAATTCCGAACTTTGAGTGTATGCCTGTTAGTTATTGGCAGACTGTATTGTGAAGTCTGAGACACCACTTCAGCATTTATACCTGGTTCTAACTGAAGTACTTGTTCAATGGAAGCATGTCTGATGTTTGCTCTCTTCAGACACATCTCTAAAGCAGCAACTGGGGAAACTCAGAAAGACCTTCAAATACAGTACCTGTTTGCAATGTTCTCCAGCCAAGAAAATAGCAGTTTGAGTTGAGGTCTAATGGTACTTGTTGATTAGACATTGTAAAGGCACATCTTGTTTTAAATGGAGGGAATGCTTTCTCCACAGGCTCACAGTCCCATCAAATTATTTATTTGGTGAATTAACAACAACAACAACAACAAGATTTCATTTATAGAGCGTCTTTCACGTCGGGAGGACGTCCCGACATTAAATTAATGTCATGCAACTTAAAAATTTTGGACTGATATCCATAAACCGCAGAAGTGGGAGATTGTTTAGGTTTCTTATTTGGGTGATATTGCTAGAAATCATAGAAGATGATCACAAGAAAATAGTTTTTGTGTGTAAAAGCACTTAAAGTTTAAATGTTCGCTTCATCCCCTGCCTAATTCAATGTTCGTCTCAAGATAATAATAGTAATAATAATAATCGTTGCTTTACTATAAAGTGAATTGACTAAATTTTGTGGGCAAAACGCAGTAGCCAATTGCGCACAGATCTATCTCTTTGACAATACTTTTGGTCATCTTTTCCCTTCCCAAACCCCAGGCACAGCTTGGGTGCCAAGACAGGATTTTTTCTCTATGCTTCTAGATGATTAAAGATGATGAAGGGAAACTTTGTCATAACTGGAGCTCAATATTGAGCTTGATGATATAATTTCCCATTGAAGTGTTTAGGAATAGATCTTACTTTCACTTATCCAAATACATTTGACAGAATCCTGATTTATTTTCTTTGCAGAAAGCGCTGTATTGAGCTGCTCCGACTGGTTGATCTGGATTTCTCAATTAACTTTTCGCTGTTGGATATGCCTCCATTAAATGAGTACGACATGTACATCAAGAATTTTGGACGAACAAATACCAAGCAGGTTTGTAAATGCAAGTTGTTGGAGGTGCTGTCCTCGCATGAGATGTTAAACCGAAGTCCCATCTGCCTGTTCAACTGGACGTTGAAAAATCCCATGGCACTATTTGAAAAAAGAGAAGGGAGTTTCTCCTGGCCAACAATCTCCCCAATACAATTGGTCATTCATTCATTTTATGGGTGTTCTGGGACATTGCTGTGCGCAAAGTGGCTGCCACTTTTTCTCAGAGAAAATACAGAACGTATACTTTACAGTATATCCTGTGAAGCACCTTTCACTTCCCTGTGTGAAAGGTGATAAACCAACTAAGGATTACTTTTTTATTATATCTATGAATGAATGGATCACTGTTCCAGGGAATTTGCACAATTAGCTACACATAACCACTTAGTTCTGGCATATGCAAATCCACTGAAACAGTCACTGTTTCACTCAGGTGAGTGAAACCTAACTGTAGTTTCAATGATGGTACTATGATCCTGCATAACTTTATCAATATCCTTTTTAAAGCTTGTCAGGCAGTGTTCAGGTGATTTTACTTGTTAAACCCCAGCAGTACTCCAAAACACACTACAGGGTCCCCAAGTGTCGGCTCTTGCCAACCTACGCCTAATACTTTCCAGAATTAGGTAAGCAGTGTACATCTCTTTGGGGAGAGAGTACAGACACTATTTCAGAATGGGAAATTTCCATTTGTAGAAGGCATGGGTGAGTGGTACTCTCAGCTTTGTTTGGATACAGAGCGATTGGCTGGTGCGTTTCACCCACAAAATATACAGTCAATTCACTTTACAGTATATTCTGTAACGCGCTTTGATTCGTCTAGAAGACTTGATAAGGCGTTATATTAAATCCAAGGAGCATTATTACAATTACTCTTAAGCATGGTGATCGGTTTCCGCATGTATTAGACACCTGGCGGAGCAAAAAAAAAACTCCTTCCTGAAATGAATTATGTACATGATGAGCATATATTTGTTCCAAACATGAGTGTTGAGATCTTTCCCTTAACATATAGATTTCTCAGTTATGTTGAACAACATATTCTTAGCATTTCTGTTTAACTAAATATACAGTCAATTCACTTTACATTATATTCTGTGAAGCGCTTCGAGACTTCTCAACAATGTGATAAGGTGCTATATCAAATGCAAGGATTATTATTATTAACTATCAAACACCTGGTTGACCTCTTTCTGTATTATGAATTGAGAATTACTATCCATAGGCATACATTCAGTGTAATGAAGATGATATTGACCGAAACATTCAGACTGAAGAAATAGAAACTGTGGAAAAGTGGACACAACATCCTGGAGAGAGTAACTTAGTGTGCGGGGGTAAGATGCATTATGTGCTTCAGCGCTCCGAGATGATATTCTACACTGCACGGAAGCTTTTCCACTGCTTGTCCTGCTAGGACCACCCTATGTGGAGTCCTGTATCTAAGTGGTTAGAGCACTTGCTCGCAAGCGACAGGACCTGGGTTCGATTTCCTGGGCTGGGCAAAACATTAGGCAAGCTTCCTTACTCCACACGCCTCTGTTTACCTCGCAGTAAGTAGGAACCTGGTTGTTAGCGGATTGCCTTTCCGGGGGCAATAATCTCTTTTTTAAAAAAAGATTTGGTCACTCAATCCACTACTGTTTGTGGGACACTGCTGTGCGCGATTGGCTACCACGTTCCACCCAGAAAATATACAGTCAATTCATTTTACAGTGTATTCTGTGAAGTGCTTTGATATGTCACGAAGATGTGATAAGGCACTATATCAAATGTAAGGATTATTATTATATGTTAAAGCTTTGGCTCGAACGGTTAATAGGAGCTGAGTGAGTAGAATACCTGCCCCACTGGCCTTCCAAGTTATGCTGATTAGCCAGAAAAACTGGGCTGGACGTTATCCTACATAAGAAATGCTTGACCAAAAACGTCCAAGGTCCATCTAGTTCGGTCGCATGCACATACGTCCCGAACTACCTTTGTACCATGTCCTATAATATTATTTCCTAAAAGAAAACTATTTAATCTGTGTTTGAAAGAATGGCACTAAATGAAGGACACTGAATAAATACGAGTTGTTATTGTTGATTTTGTAAATTGAATTAGGATTATTTACATTAGACATGAGACTTTGACTGGGACCCCTCCTGTTGCTCGTTTACATTAATGACCCAGATTCGTAGACCCAACAACAACTTGCATTTATATAGCGCCCTTCCCGTGCCCTTCACATTAACTTGTATGTGGCCCACTGACCAGGCTGTAAACATTTTATTAGTCTATTTCTCAATATGGACCTGAGATAGAAATCACAGAGACTCAACTATAAACTCCTGCTTCAAATGTTTACTTTAAGTAAAGAAAGAATGGTAATATGTAACAATCTGTATTCTTTCTTCCTCTGCGACCTTCTTAAATCCTGCTAACCTGTTGTTGTACAATACTAAATGAAATATTTTCAAACCATCTTTAACATCTTCTTCCAAGTTATCATGGTACAATATATTACAATCTGCAACTTGGAAATATAAATGAATCCTTGACCTTTGATAAACAGGATTGATGTTCTTGTTGCTGTCCTGTACTAGACCTTTAATGCCAAGTATTTTCTCCTCGAATAGGTCCTAACACCAGTGATACATTGACCTCTGATTCAGTGGCTATGCATGTTGACTCCAGGAGACTGGCTAACTTCTTGAGATCTGCTTGCCAGGTACTATCTTTCACGCATTCAAGAATGTGCTGAAATATTTCTAAGTACTGCATTGACGCTTGCTTTAATGGAGGCCTGAGGAGATTCCCTGATTACCACAGTGAGTACATATATTTGAACTGAAATAATGCTGTCATGACAAGGTAAAATGTAAAATCAGGAGAGTGGTACAGATGAAGAAGTCACTTTGGCTTATTGATCTCATCCTTCCAGAATACCAGCCTGAACATCTTGCCATTACTGCACCAAGCTGTTCCTTAAATGAGTCAAGTGTCCCGGCCTCCATCAGTTTTCCTGGTAATCCCAACCACTTAGAGGTTCAATGTAGGCATGTGATTTTTAAAATACTTCTTACATTAATTGTTGCAGAGTTTTCCGCAATTTTCCCCAGACAGTGAATGTCTTCTGATTGATCATTTGACACTCGCCAAAAGAAATGGGAAGATAGGCCATGCTCAAATGTTGCGAGGAGGGTATTGCAGTTTGATTTTTTGTGTTACTTTGCTTGCTTGCTTGCTTGCTTTCTGACTGCTGCTGTAACATTTTGGCAGGTAATAGCAGTACTGCTTGAAGAAGATCGGGCAGAGAATCAAGCCAATCAGAGCCTCCAGTCAAAGCCAGCCAGTCTATCAATAAGTGATAGGTCTTCTCAACTGAACACACAGCTGCCGTTTTTCCATGGTAATATATGTTTCGTCCACAAAATACAGTCAATTTATTTTACAGTATATTCCATGAAGCGGTTTGACACTTCTCAACGACGTGACAAGATCGAGGCCCTCCTGATTGGCTCCCTTTAGCGCCTCCACCCCTCAGGCGCTGACAGCATCACCATCCATCCCACTCTACCTTACTAAGCCAGTCCGGGACCTTGGCGTCTTGTTTGACCTGCAACTATCCTTTCTACCCCACGTCCGTGCCATGACCCACTCTGCCTTCCCCCACCTCCACAACATCGCTCGGCTCCGCTACTGCCTCACACCACAAGCCACCGAAATCCTCATACACACATTTATAACATCCAGGCTTGACTATTGCAAACTCCTTGCTTGTCAGCCTCCCCAAGATTTGAGTGTTCGTTCATAGAATCATACTTTTTTGTGATTAAATTTGCAGAATTCAGCTCTGCAAAGCTTGCTCTGCATTCTGTGCTGCTAATGCCGCCCAGTTAAGATTGGGAACCATCCGTGCATAGCCATATTCTGCCACTTGGTGGCAATGGGCCACTATGTGACCTGAAGCTTCACTGTTTAACAAAAGTATGGCCATTGGCTTGGGGTCCATTTTAAATTGCCAAACAGAATGCCACAAGATTAGCAAACCAGTACGTTAATATAGATTTCCCTATATATTCACAAATCTACAGTTTTAACGTTTTATTTTGGAGTGTCCCAAGTAGTAATGTCGTGTTTTGTTTCTTCTGCAGGTCGACAGGTTTTGTGTCTACATTTTTCACAAGTACAGAGGCAGACCCTGCTATCAGTTCACAGTGTTCCTAAAGAACCTGTTGCAGTCCAGCTAGACAACAAGTACATCATCTGTGTTTGGAATATCTGGGAACCATCAGCTCCTCAGAAAGTCCTTGTGTGCGAATCTGCGGTTTGTGCAGAAACAATATTATTATTTATGCTTTTATTAATTCCTGAAAGAGTTACAGAAACCTTAACTGTTAACAGAAAGAAATAAAATAGTATGAACTGTGTGTATCATTATAAAGCTGAAAGAGGTTCAGACCAGTTATCAACAGTGGAGTATAAGAAAGAACATAATAAGAAGAGGAATGCCGTGGGAGGGAGTAAGGAATGGGTTGAGAGTATAAACACTGGCACGGACTAGTTGGACTGAGTGCCCTTTCCGTGCTGTACACTCTTTGTAAGCTGGGGTCCAGAAGCTGAAGGCTAGAAGGGAATCCCATACTGTTTTGTTTTAAAACAGAAAAAAGAACAAACTCCCACCCCTGACTGCGTATGTTGAAAAACGAAAGCTCTGCGGCCTCCACAAGAGCGTTCCACAGTTATGGATTGAACGTGTTCAGGGGAGAACGACTCTTAAAAGCTTGCTCTTTACACTCCTCCCCTCTCTTCCCATCAAGTGAGACTTGGAGGGGGATGGAATTCTTCCCACTTGGTTCCTGGTAACCCTGTAAACCAATGCAGAGCAATTCTAACTGGACAAATGGTGGGTAGCCTACCAGCACAGGTTTAGTCGCTTCAGTTCCAGTACTGTGGGGTCCTGTAACTCAATGGTTAGAGCACTCGCCTCGCAAGCAAGAGACCTGGGTTTGATTCCTGACAGGGCGAAATGTTCAGCAAGTTTTCTTACTCCACACACCTCTGTTTACCTAGCAATAAGTAGAAACCCGGTTGTTAGTCGATTGGTGGATCGCTTTTCCGGGGGTAATAATTCCTTCCAAAAAAATTAATAAATTGATCACTTCAATCCACGACTGTTTGTGGGACACTACTGTGCGCAATTGGCTCCATGTTTCGTCCACAGAATATACAGTTAATTCACTTTACAGTATATTCTGTGAAGCGTTTTGAGACATCTCGAATACATGATAAGTTGCTATATCAAATGCAAGGATTACTAATATTATTACTGCTCCAGTGTGTGTTTCATGGTCCCCAAACCTAATATTTTGGCTTTGGTCAAGCTGCCTTTGTGTTCTCTGGCCATAGGCGTGTTATTTACCATTCCCCTGATCTCGGGGAAATTACACCATTCAGAATTAACAATAGGAACTCTAATTTTTGTGGTTTCTAAACAGCTGTTGGAATTTTGCTCTCTGAACATCTACCCCACAACCCCCCACCGAAAAAAAAATGCATTAAATTAACTCATAGAAAAGACAGACAGAATTGCCTATATTCTGGGTGCATGAAATTGCATACATACTCTAGGAACCAACTCATCAACATTGGAAGTGCATTAGCTGAGGAAAGTATTACTAAATATTTTGAACTGTCTTGATGTAGGTGCAGTGCTGCTGTTTCAGTCCTGGCAGGGCAATCTCGGTGTTTGCAGGAACTGTTGATGGCTCGGTCGTGCTTTGGGATCTCCGGCAGCACTCCAGCACGCACCACACACTTCAGATCGGGAGTCAAGAATGGACTTTCAGATCTCCAACATTCTCTACCGGTGAGTCAAGGAGCCTCTTCCAACAGTGACTGAAGGAAACGTATGTTAAGCTCATATTAAATTTGCTGTTGATTTTTCATTGGCATACTCTAAAACAAATCACAATATTAACTTAAATTCAACTCCATTAATTCTTCTCTTCTCACCAGCCATATGGTCATTGACTTTTACTTTCCAACAACTTGGGCAAATTATTTCATATTTGGATCACACACAATTCTAATCAGACTTATAGGATTGAACTTAAATCAAAGCATCACAGACTCATGACTGTTTCTTACATGATTTTTTTTATGGTGGCGGTGGGGGAGATGAAGAATCTATCTGGAATTTCCATGTGTAGCTGGGATGCATGGAATTCTCAGCTTGGTTTGGGTACTCTTAAGCACGGTGATGGGTTCCCGCATGTGTCAGACACCCGGCGACCAAACAAACAATGGAGAAACATCGGATTGTTTGTCCTCATGTTTCCTGTTCTTAGCTGATTTGCACTTGGTGGAAGCTTCCCTCGAAAAGGGGAATAGTGTTGGGAGAAACGTGTCACTTTTGTTCAGTTAGTAATATCCTTGCCTCCGGATCGGAAGATCATTGGTTTCAGGTCTAACACCAGAACCTGAATTCATAATCTAACCTGACACTCCAGAAAGTGAGACACAACCTTCAAACTCTGACTCATTTGCTAAGGTACACCAAAAATTGGAAAGGCGCTGCATGTAAATAAGGCTTCCTGGTCCATGTGGTTATATTGCCTGAAGCACAACTGAATTATAAGTGCAGTATAAGAGTCCCTGGGCTTTCGTGCACATCTGCTTGCAGATAGTTCAGAGCAGGAGTATAGAATGCTAAATAATGAGCCAACCACATCTCCACCATGGCAGCTAAGGGAGAAACTTAACTGATTAAATATTTAACTGCAATTGAGAACTGATTTTTATTTATAGACTATGCACGCAGGTACATGTAAGAAAAAATACATTGTTCACAAGATCACAAAATTGGTCTGGCTGAAGAAGGCCCTTTGGCCCATCCAATCTCATCCCTTCAAAACACCCACCCTTCTGCACCTCATCATTGCATCAATCTGTTTTTTTTAATGAGTCTAGTGACTGGCCTCTGCCACCTTTCCTGGCAACCCGTTTCAGTCATTGATTACAACAACTTCCAACAACTTGCATTTATACAGCGCCCTCCACGCCGGGTGGCATCTCAAAGCACTTAACAATGGTGGCGCCAGAGGCTGAGCCAGGGGTAGGGGGAAGGTAGGCACGGTCAAAGAGGAAGGTCTTCAGGCGCGACCTAAAGATGGGGAAGGAGGGGGCAAGGCGAAGGGATTGAAGGAGGGAGTTCCAAAGTTTCGGGGCGCAGTAGCTGAAGGCACGGCCGCTGATGGTGAAGCGGAGGATTCGGGGGACACAGAGGAGGCCGGAGGCAGCGGGTGCTACTGTGGGGATAGAGGAGGTTAGAGAGATAGGGGGGGTGCTAAGGATTGGAGGATTTAAACACTAGAGTGAGGATCTTGAAGTCGATCCGCTCTGTGACAGGAAGCCAGTGGAGTTTGGCAAGGACTGGAATAATTGGGGTACGAAGTTTGGTGCGGGTGAGAATGCGGGCAGCAGAGTTTTGAATGAGCTGAATTTTGTGAGTAGTGGAGGAGGGGAGATCGGCGAGGAGGACGTTAGAGTAGTCCAGCCAAGAGGTGACAAAGACATGGACAAGGGTTTCGGCAGCTTTTGGGGTGAGGTATTGTCGGTGGCGGGCTATGTGGCAGAGGTGGAAGAAATCGGTGTTGGTCAGGGACCGGATATTGGGGAGGAAGGATAACTGGGGATCGAACCTGACGCCTAAGTTGCGCACGGGTTTCATTACCTTCTGTGTAAAGAAAATGTTCCTGGTATCTGTCCTGAAATTTTCCCTTGAACTTCGTTACCCTTTACAACTCTCTGCAACTCGCTCTAATTCACATTAAATGCTCATTAACAAGGTAGTGAGGAACAACCCTATTTTGTATTAAGACTAATTTGTGGGTGAATGAACAGCCAATTTGTGGACACTAATATCCCACAAACAGCCACACAGTGAATCACCAATTTTATTTGAGTTATTGTTTGTCAGGACACAGGGAAAAATTCCCTCCTATTTTCAAAACTCTTTAAAATCCATCTGAGCAGGCAGGTGGAACCTTGGTTTAACGTTTCATCCAATGGACTCAGATTCCAATGATTCAGAGTCCGTCCAGCATTGTATTGGAGAGTCAGCCTAGATGATATGAGTTCCAAGTCCCGACGTTGGGTTTGAACCCACAAACAAACTCAGAACCAAGAGTGCTATAACCTGAGCTATGCTGACACACTATTTTATATTGCATTATAGATGGTGTTCTCACAGCAGTAAACCACTCCTGTGCAGTAAAGGCTGTTGCTCCTGTGTCATCTCCTTCTTACGAGAATCAAGGTCTTGGGCTTCCACTTTTAACGTCCCATGAAGGTACGACTTCTGTTAGATTTTCAGCTTCCCTTTTTTTGCGCTTTATGGGGACTTTAATTTACATGCATTTGATTTTCATTGATCGTAATTTAGACTTAATTTTTTTGTTCCATATTAGAAAAAATCTACTCTGCAAATTCACCAACTAAATATCAATTTCATCATCTGTGTGTTTCCTGATATCAACATATTAAAGTCTGGTATTGCAGTCAGAACAAAGTTGTGTCATGTCATAGCAACTTTATATAGAGAGACATTGTGGTTTAGGCACTGGTATTTCATTTCTGAGACCTGGATTTAAGACCCGATAAAGTTCAAGTCTCCCCTGTCTGCCGGGAATGTGGATAAGGGATACGCAGAAAGACCTGCAAAATTTGTTTAATTAAAAAAAAGTGACTTAAAAAGTAGAGGCTTTAGTGACACAGACATGATGGGCCGCCAAACAATCTCATTATGACCTGACCATTTCTATGGATGCATGTTAAGTACATTTGTTTGTTCAGTTGTCTTCATTTAATTTCTAGTCAGTATCTTCTGAAGTAGGAGTCAGCCATAGACAGGCCACGCACAGATTGTGTGATATGGGAATTGGAAATGTGTCGTATCGAATGCAGTAAAAGCTAATGTTTTTTTAAATCTTATTTTTGATTGGTAAGGAGTCATAGCACATTATAAGAGAAGATGCGGGATCAATCTTTTTTTGGTCCTTTTTAACATTTAAATGATATTTTTAATATTTACTTGTGCAGGAAGCTCAGGGCAGTCCTTTCAGATGGCCTCACTTGATGAAAGTGGTCTGCTTAATCTGTGGGTAAGTATAGAGTGCTCTTCTTCAGAACTCTGCTGCCCACATACTAACCCGGACCAACCTCTGTCTCGTCATCTCACAGTTCTGGCCAGGCTCCTTATCACCGAACAGGTCGACTTCAAGATCCTCACACTTGTTTTCAAATCTCTTCGCTGACTGGCACCTCCCTACCTCTCTGAACTCCTCACTCTAGTGCACCACCAGGTGCCGCTGCTCGATTGGCACTGGCCTCGTGCTCATCCCTCGGGCCCCTACCACTGGAGGTCGTGCATTTAGCCACTACGTCTCGAAACTGTGGAACACACTCCCTCAATTCCTCCGCCTTGACCCCTCTCTCCCCTTTTTCAAGTCCCACCTGAAAACCTTCCTTTTCACCTCTACCCACATACCACCCCCCCACCCGGCTCAGAGTCAGGCTCCCCCACTGTTAAGAGCTCTGAGATGTTAGCCTGCACGGAGGGTGCTATATAGGTGCAAGTTGTTTGTTGTTGATGTGGTCCCACACAAAGCTTGGAATTTGAACATGAGTTTGTAAGGACTGTGTGTGAACTGCAAGTATGAACTAGTCCAAGTCTTCCTTATAAAGGCCGGTGAGGTCCCTTCGAAAGTTTGCAATAGTGAATTCAGTGCTAACGATCACAGTAAATAATTTACTAGCAAATCATATGTTTCAATCCAAATGTCTCTCTTAATGGGATTGAAAGGGAATTAAAATCTCTGCTTGCATCAGTGAGGACCGCTGGACTTTTTTTTTCATCAGTACAAAATAAAAACCTAGATACATTGGGGAATCTACTTTTTGTGTTTTTTGTCCACGGAGATAAATGGACACAGGAAAATGTGGGCAAATTTGGTGAAAATCAGGAATCAGTGTGGAACATCAAAAAATTCAGAAAATAATAATAAAACAGTAGCTTTATTAATGGACACAATTGTTGATGCAGCGGAGAGCTGATTATATTCATAATGGTAATCCTTGCATTTGGTATGGCAACTTACCGTATCATTGAAACGTCTCAAACACTTAGCCTAAGGTGTAGTGATTGTGTATTTGTAGGCGTTAGTTGGACATGGGTCTTTTGCAGATAAGCAAACAGTTGTGGATAATTCGACATCAAGAAAATTATATTGTTCACTCAAAAATTATTTCATCAGGACTTACATTGTCACTATATTGACCCTCTGCCAGCCCTTCTCACTCTCTGCTACTTCCTCTCTCACTTTACATCTCTCCCTTTCTCTCTCTCTGATTTTCTGTTTCTATCTATGATGTTTTCTATCCCTGTATCAAACTGTACAACTGTAGAAAGCCAGTAGCACAAGTATCTGATAATGACTAGGGGGGATCTAAAAGAGAATGTAGGAGAAACTACTTCACACAGAGAGTAGTGAGAATGTGGAACTCGTTGCCTGAAATGGTAGTTGAGCACATAGTGTAGATGCATCCAAGTGGAAGTTAAGTATATACATGAGATGGAAGGGAAGGGAATAGAAGGTTATAGGGAGAGTAAGGAGTGGGTGGAGATTTGTGGAGAGTGTAAACGCCAGCAGGGACTAGTTGGACCGAATGGCCCATTCATTATTGTATTATTCATTATATAATAATAATTATTATAATTATTCATTATTGTATTTCTATTATATGATTATTAATATATTATTGATAATAATGCCTCAAGAAAAAAAAAAAATAAATTGGTCACTTCAATCCACGACTGTGGGGACACTGTTGTGCGCAACTGGCTGCCGCGTTTCGCCCACAAATATACAGTCAATTCACTTTACAGTTTATTCTGTGAAGCGCTTTGAGACGTCTCAAAGATGTGAAAAGCGCTATATCAAATATAAGGATTATTATTATTTCCATGCTGTCTAGTCTGTGTAAATCTACGTAAATTTCTGTAAGTGTTACAGACTTAACGTAGCGCACAGCAAATGATCCTGTTGTACAACTGCAGTTACACGCGTGTGCCTGAAATTACTATGAACATTGAGATTGAGTCACGAGTAAACTTGCAAACTCGCGTGTAACTCTGCACATGTGCACAACTGGATTCACAAGGCAGAGTGTAATTCCTGGAAACAAGTGTATGCACCATCCCTGATGTAGAAAACAAGGTGGTTAATTTGAGTTTTTAAGATCTAATTTAAAAAATTTTTTTTTTAACAATTTTACACAATCCCAAAGTGAAAATTGGTTAACAAAAACATGAGTAACTCTTATAGATCAGTTAGGCTTTCATGCTTGTACTGCTGTTCTGTTTATATTATTCCTAAAACCTCAAAATTTGGATAAAGGAAGTTCCCAATTGGTTTATACATCATGCAGTTGTAGTGTAAGCGAGCAACTGGATTTTCTTTTATAATAATAATCATTACATTTGGTATCGCGCATTATCAAATCTTCGAGACGTCTTAAAGTGCTTCACAGGATATGCTGTAAAGTGAATTTTACTTTTGCCAGTATCTGGCAGCCCTATGGTGTTTTAATCTAGGATTATAATACAGTTTTCAAGCGGAGATTGCTAAATATGTGGGATGGGATGTCCTCCCATCGTGAAAGGTGGGGGCTGTATAAATGCAATTTGTTGTTTGGTTGTTGTGTGAAATGGATTACCCAAGGGGATGATGAAGGCAGATTGTCCTGGCAAATTTAAAAAGGATTTAGATAACTATTTAGTTAATAATTAATTTGAAGGGGTTGAGAGCTGTAATGTAGGATTATTTATTATTATTTTTAACTTGCAGCTAGCGAATGGTCTTTTCCAGGCCTGCATATTCCAAAGCTGTATTCCATCTATTTTCATCACCGACTTTTTAACGAGTTTGGAATGTGTTTTTCCTATAAGTTTGAACCATTTTTATGAGCGATTTGTTTAATAACAAGTCGCTGTACTTCATTCCAGAGGTATTTTCTCTATAATCTATTTTAAGTATTTTTATAATATTTTTGCCACTTTGTTGAATAAAGTAAGTCTGCAGTCGCTCTCCTGGTGCTGATTAATGACTTTAGCCACTATAAATAAGCAATGGTGTAACTATTTTAAACTGCGACTTATGCTGTCTTTCCATTACAGTCGTGATGCTGAAGGCAGCCCTAGACTTTGATGGCAGTAGTTGAATGTTAATGAAGTGACATCGTACCTGTGCAATTGGTTAATATAAACGGCCGCCACTGCAAGCATCTGTGGTCATTTTTCTGAGCGCTGGTTACCTGAACTCTCATCCCACCCGTACCACATTCCACGAGATTCATGTGAACTTTCCCCACACAGCGCAGAAAGTCCAAGGCCAGTAAACTAAAGTTGCCACTTGTGACTTGACAACAAGCGCACTGGTGAGAATTGTATGTCATTTGGCTGTTGCCGTTAATGTTCTGGAATCTGCTTTGTGGTGCCAACCGAGGGTAACTTGCACAGCGCAAGAGGTTCCAATGTTAACAGACCTGTGATGCGGAGTAGACATAAATTTCCTGTGCTTTGCACCAGATGATTTGCCTCCTACTGATTCCTTTGATCGTGACAGCTCTTCTGTGAGTTACATTGTAAATCGTTTACAATGTTTACTGTTTTCTAATGAACTGCCTGGCTTGCGCTGATGTTTATATGAACCAAGACATTGATTTTGCCAAAAAACATGCGTTGTTTGACAAAGCTTTCTCCTAGAAAGTAGACATGTTCTCACATTTCTGGTGTCCTGTAGTACAAACTAATTTGTTCTGAACTTCCAAAGAGCAATGATTTAGAGAAACCTTTTTGTAGTATTTGGATGTTAATTCAAAAACATTTCAAATTTATTCAAAGATGATGCATTTATTCAGTTATAATAAATAATATGAGTATATATTTGATATGGTATGGTCACTCCAAGGGAAAAGGGTTCAGTGACAAGTTATCCAGAGTGGCGAGATTGTATAAATACATAAATAAATGCTGCTGAGATTTTAACAGCATGATGGCAGTGACAATTATATATATATATTGTTTGCCTTCAAAATATACAGTCAATACACTGTGTTATATATATATAGTCAATACACATGTCAGCAATTACTTGTGAAGCACAAGCAATTACTTGTGAGATATTCGAAGTTATAGACACTATATCAAATGTAAGGATTATCATTGTTTTATATACAGGAGCTATATTTTGAGAGGGTAAAATTCCCATGCAGGTAATGTGATCCAGACCCTGAGAAACCCTGGCAGATATATTAAACTCCACTAATATTGGGATATAAGCCAGTGGAAATGAGGGAACAAAGTATGTGGAAGAAGATGCAACAGGCTGTCTGAACACGGCTCACTGATCTTTGCAAATTACTTTGTAGTTAATGTGCTTGTTTATTAATCAAACATCACTGTCAGGTAATATTGTGTCTAGAGAAATGTTAGTTGGAAAAGTAACTTGGCAGCGAAACAAATAGTTCCAATAGTTAAGACATTCTTTTGTTTTGAGTAGATTATAAACCTGTCATTTTTTGTGTGGTCTGGTTCTCTTCAGGTAGTGGTTGAACTCCAAAAGGCAGATGTTGCCGGTTCTCTGACAGACTTAGGTATGTATAAAACATGTCGTGCAGAGAACAAGACCTTAAATACAAAATGAAAGGGAAATATATAGGTTAGAGAAGTAATAACGTTCACCGACAAAATACACAGTTATTATGCACTTTACAGTGAAGAGCTTTGATGCGTCCTTCTGGCGTGAAAAGAGCTATATCACATGCAAGGATTATTATTGTTACAACTGAGTGGATCATGCTGGAGTCTAATTTGCGACATCATTTAATGGAGTGGGAGCATTAATTTACAAAACCCAAAGGCCATCTAATGTTTGCTATTTACAAAGTGTTTCCTTATGTTGTCTGAACACTGTCAATGCGTGTGCGTCGTGTGTGCGTGGGGGGGTTGGGATGGGAGATCAGTGAGTGAAATGCCAAAACTAACTCCCCCACAAAGGAATAACGAGTACAGAAAGAAAAGAGAGAAGAGCTAAGTCAAAAGGTTAAATTCATTTTTCGGGAAAGATAAAATAAAACAGGTTAGGTTAGGTGGGGTAAAAGTAAATTCATTGTTATTTAGGAAGGAAAAGACGAGAGATGGGGGTGGGGGGGAGAGATAATAGAAAAAGCAACAGTAAAATATTATTTAAAGTTTTATATAAAATATCTATTATAATAATCTTGCATTGTATTCACATGATCAAGATGTTTCAAACCTCTTCACAGTAACTTGCTGTGGTGTAGTGTCTTGTGTATTTTGTAAGTGAATGTGACGGCTAACTGGCGTACACCAATATACCCCAAATAGCCATGAAGTGAGAGACCAAATGGGGGATTGTTGGCCAAGGCACCTGGAGAACAATAACAACAAAATGACATGTGTATAGCGCCTTTCACGTTGGGACGACCTCCCAAGGCGCTGGACAATCGGATTTGGACCCAAGCAGGGGGTGGGATCTGCAGGTGTGGAGGGTAGGGATAGGAGGGTGGCCGAAGGCTTGGTCGAAGAGAAGGGTCTTGAGATGTGCCTTGAAGGAGGCAAGGGAGGGAGCAAGGTGAAGGGACTGTGGGATGGAGTTCCAAAGGGTGGGGGCAGAAAGGCTGAAGACCCGACCAGCGATGGTTGGGGGAATAGGTCAGAGCCTGCTGAGCGGAGGGAGTGGGCAGGTTGATATAGGGTTACCAGGTCACAGCAGTAGGAAGGGGCAAGGCTTCTGTCTTGTTGACGTTCAACTGCAGAAAGTTAGCTCTCATCGTGGACTTGATGTCTGACAGGACAACAGTGGTCCTGGATTTGAGGGTGGAGGCAGAGATAGAGTTGGGTAGCATCCGCCTACATGTGGAAGTTGACCCTATGTCTGTGGATGATGTCACCAAGAGAGGGCATGTACATGTTGAAGATAATCCCTTCTCTTTTTGAATCATGCCGTAGGATCCTTAATGTCCACCTGAACAGAGGGACTGGATCTTGATTTACGACAATTCAGCCCTCTCCTTGGACTGGACTGGTGGAGCAGCATAGATTGTGATTTAGTGGTATCGTGGTAAAATTGAGATAATAAGGTTTCCTGATTATATTACTGTAATATTGGTTCGGTGTCTAGTCGACCTGCTTGGTCCAGTGAGACAAAGCTTGGTTAGATCTTAAGGGTTAAGAAAATATATGCAGATAGGCTTCGTTCTTTTCCTTGAATTTTGTCTATATTGTCAGGTCTGAGTCCTGGTGGGAAAGTGAAACTGCTGCACAGCTCTTCAATCAACATCAACAGCAGGTAGGATTCTAGTTTTGAGCATTAGGTCCTCTTGTTTGTGTGACTTTTCAAAGTATATTGTACTTTAATACTGATAAATGATCCCAGAGTGAAGGAGGGTTTGTTTGGTTCATAACAATAGATACACTTTGAGATACTTGTAAATCTCATTAAGTCAGTGGCAGAATTGTCATCAATCTTACGTAATAATGGCAGAGTTTAAATACAACAGTCACTGAAGTGAAAACCTATGTAGGTTTATGTGGTGAATAGGGTATTGTTACAGTGTTTTCAATAACTGATTTGAAAGTTCTGATTTAACTCAAACACAACTATGGGTGCTGTGACATTTTCAATTCTTACCAAAGATAATAATAATAAATAAATAATCCTTGCATTTGATATAGCACTTTTCATGTCTTCTAGACATCTCAAAGCACTTCACAGAATAGACTGCTGCAAAGTGAATTGACTGTATAATTTGTGGGCGAAACACGGCAGCCAATTGCGCACAGCAGTGTCCCAAAAACAGTCGTGGATTGAAAATGAACAATTCATTATTGTTTTGTTTTGGAGGGATTATTATTAGGCGTGTGGAGTAAGGAAACTTGCCCAAGATTTCACCCTGCTGGGAATTGAACCCAGGTGTCTCGCTTGCAAGGCGAGTGCTCTAACCACTGAACTACAGGACTCAACTGTCATTTTACTGTTATTTCAACCCCTGTCTTTATGGTTCAGAGAAGTTTCCATATTGCCAGTGACCTCAAAATGGCTGTCTGTGATGAATGAGTTATCTATCAGTTGGAGTGCTGGCTGTCAGCATTCAGTACATCATTGAGACCTGGAGGCAGTGCATAAGAGTGCAAATGCTGCAAGAAGAGCAATGATGGAGTCCTGTAGCTTAGTCCTGTAGGTTAGAGCATTCGCCTCTCAAGCGAGAGACCTGGGTTTGATTCCTGGCAGTGCAAAACCTTGGGCAAGTTTTCTTACTCCACACGCCTAATAATAATCCCTCAAGAAAAAAAACAAACAATAATAAATTGGTCACTTCAATCCACGGCTGTTTGTGGGACACTGCTGTACGCAATTGGCTGCCGCATTTCGCCCACAAATATACAGTCAATTCACTTTACAGTTTATTCTGTGAAATGCTTTGAGAGGTCTAGAAGATGTGAAAAGCGCTATATCAAATGCAAGGATTATTATTATTGTTATTACAACAACAACAAGATTACATTTGTATAGCGCCTTTCACATCAGAAGGACGTCCCAAGGCACTGGACAGTGTACAGCATTTCAGACCCGAGCTGAGGTCGGAGGGAGAGGGGAGGGGAAGGGGGATGACCGATGGCATGGTCGAAGAGGAGGGTTTTGAGGCGGGACTTGAAGGAGGCTAAGGAGAGGGCGAGGCGGAGTGATTGGGGAATGGAATTCCAGAGGTTGGGGACGGAGTGGCTGAAGGCTCTCCCACCAATGGTGGGGTGGGTGGGTCGGGGGATGTGGAGCAGGCCAGAGCCGGCTGAGCGGAGGGAGCAGGCGCTTGGTAGGGAGCGAATGGAATTGGGCGAGAATGGGGGAGATGGGATCATGGAGTTTGGTGCGGGAGAGGACACGGGCTGCAGAGTTCTGGATTATCTGCAGCCCGTGGAGGGAGGAGTTGGGAAGGCCGACAAGCAGAGTGTTTGCACAGTCGAGCCTGGAGGTGATGAAGGCATGAACAAGAGTTTCAGCGGCCTGAGGGGTGAGGTAGTGGCGGAGGCGGGCGACGTTATGTTATGATGAGATTAAAAATTAAACCTGTTCCAAACGAAGATGTGATGCAATGGGGCTAATTTGGGGATTTTGAAAAGCGAATCACGTAGGAACTTAGATAGGTCTCCAACCAATGTATCTTCAGATCTCCATGCAAGTCGATGCTGCCCTTTCACAAACTAGTGACTCACTGAGATCCTTTTGGTTTAGCTTTTGTTGATTGATGCACTTGTACACCAGATGATATAGTTTGTTGTTTAATGTTTAATGTGCTTCCTTTTGTATTTGGTCAGTTTTATCCCTAGAGATCTCATGCAACTGGGACCTCCTCAGACTTTGAATATCAAATTTCTACCTTCAGATCCCAACCATTTTTTTGTTGGAACCGATATCGTAAGTAATTAAAACATTAACAGAATAATTCTTATAGACGTAGCGCAAATGAAGATCATTTCCTGTGCCTTGTGTGCTATGTTTGTTGATTCATTACCAAAGTAGGATGAATTAATATTTAAATATATTAAATATTTGACTATGATATTGAGAAAAAAATAATTTGACAATATATTGTTAGTAATGTATCACTCCTAAGAGTGAATATAAATAATCTGGTGTGAATGGCATTGAGAATATGATCTGATAGGAACAGGTCATTTTTTTAATTTTCTCTTTGAAGCAGTCTGTTTCAAGCTATTTTGTTTCCTTGAGAAATGGTTATTTTGTACTCTTTCATGTGATAAGACTGAACATTTCAATCACATTTGAAATCGATGGAAGCTGTTTGAGATTTGCTGGAAAGTGACGCTTTGCATTGCCATGGAAAATAAAAGCACTGCTTCAAGATTATTTCTAATTAGAACCACTCTGTAACCATTTATCTTCCCTTACCAGGGTCTTGTAAGTCACGGCACACTGCATGGATTACGAGCACCTCCAAAACTCTACAAATCCCAATTAAGCACCACCAGACCAATTCAGGTTACTTCAATTGACTTCTGTAATTTTGAAGAAGCAATATTTTTGGTAAGAATACTATTGATCTGGTGTAAATTTATTTAATCACGTTGTTGTTGCTGCTTGGTCTTGCAGAATCGATAGAGGTGCATTTACAGAATGCAACACTTCTCCTGTTGGTGCCGATATATTTACTCAGCGTGGGTATTGATTAATTTGCTTTAATGGTTGCTGTGCTAAGTACAGATGCGTGAATTATAAAATATCACAGCAGCAAACATCAGTATGGGTATTTGTGACAAGGCCACTGTTACTCCATTGAACTCAAATGTAGCTTGTGAAGATGCTTGAAAGGTTAACTATAGCTCCATTTGCTCTTGAAGCAGTTGGCAACTGAATAGATTGAGAGGGAGGGTAATTTACGAGTGAGCTACTTACTTTGGGCATTTTACATAAGCCTTCTTTCTACCTAATAATTACAGATTATTTGGCAGAGTCCTGGAAGCAAACTGCTTGATCTCTTGCCATGGGATGATAATACTGCTAAGAATAATCCTTGCAATTGATATAGTCACGCCTTCGAAATGTCTCAAAGCGCTTCACAGAATATACTGTAAAGTGAATTGACTGCACTTACAAGAGGGGAGGAGATAACTAAAGATGGTGATTCCTAGCTTTGATTTTAGTGGATAAATACCTTGCGTCACGTTTCTAGATAACGCTTCTTTGTACTGAGTTAGCGAATCTTAATTGGGGTAGCAGTAGGAAGGGACAATTTTTATAATGCTTTTCACGTTTGGGAGGACCTGACAAACAATGCTGACAATTGATTTCATTCAGTTTATATTGAGGCATTGATCAGTAATTAAATGCGGTAAAGACTGCATTTAAGAAATCTGAAGAATATGATTACCAAATAATGGGGATAAATAATGTGATTTAAAACTTTTATACAAATTTTCTGTAAGTATGCATATTTACAGAAAGTGTAACTGGCTGAATGTAATCAAATGGAAACACGACTTGGACTTTGTTGTACTAAAAAGAGGGAGTTCTGTGTTGCTTTTTACAGGTCGGGTGTTCAGATGGAATGATCAGACTACACTCTGTGGCAGCTGAGCGACCTCTTATGCAGTGGAATGATAGCACTCAGGGTAGACGAATCCAGACCATTCAATGGGCACTAACACGTCCTGCTGTATTTTTTGTTCTTGACGTATCTTCTAATATTTATGCGTGGGACTTGCTAGAAGATGATTCCAAACCAATAGCAAAGGAGAGCCTGCCGTCTGATTTGTAAGTATAATGTTTATAGTGAAAGGTCCAGTTTTGTTTCCAGTAGCTAACGGTGCTATAAATTTGTGCCATTTTCTTTATAATAATCCGTATTGGATACAGTGCCTTACGACATTGTTGAGAATTCTCGATGAGCTTCATAGGATTTACTATAAAGTTTAGCGACTTATTTGTAGGCAAATGCAGCAGCCAATTTAAACAGGACACTGAGAGAAATTCTCTTTAGAAACTTAGGAATCCCCAATTCTTTTACTGAAGCTTGGATAGCTTAGTTCCTGGAATCACTTCCTTTTTGTTTCACCTGAGAGGAAGAAAAGAGGAGCAAACAGCAGTGAGCCCTTAACAAAGTAACCTGATGACACAAGGAAAACAGATTTGGATACAGAGGCAAATGGGGCACTTGTTAGAGACCATTAATTTAAACTGCCATAAACCAATAATTATAATCCATGTATATTTTATATAGCCTCTTATCAAGACGTCAAGATGTCTCAGCGCTTGTGAGACTGTACTGGTGGTGTGACTGTTTTTCTGGGCGGACACAACAACCAATTTGCGCACAGCAGTTTCTCACAAACAGTCTGGGAGACTATCCTCCTCGGGTGTGGGCAGTAGAGGTGAGGTTCGTCTCTAGAAGACAGACAGAAGACTTCAATTTAGCTCTTGAAATTTATTATGCTGGCATTAAAATGCTAATTATTCTTAAATGATTTTTGACACTGAGTTTTTTTTTATATTCGTGTTCAGACCCCCGTGGGGTAACATTTCACCTCGGTCTAGATTAAAATAGCGAGGCCTGCAGCAAGTTGGTTAGAGCACTCGCCTCGCAAGCCAGAGGACATGGGTTCGATTTGAGTGTGGGGTGAAATGTTAGGCAAGTTTCCTTACTCTGCACACCACTGTTTAGCTAGCAGTAAATAGGAACCCAGTTGTTAGTCGATTGGCAGATCGATTTTCCGGGGTAATAATTCCTTCAAAATAAAATAATAATAATTTGGTCACTCAATCCACCACTGTCTGCGGGACACTGCTGTGGGCAATTGGCTGCCATGTTTCATCCACAAACTAAGTCAATTCACTTTACAGTATATTCTGTATAAGCTCTGTATATCCTGTTAGCTAACTAACATCTCAAAGTATAAGGAAGTGATATATATGAAATGCAAGGATTATTATTATAGAGTATCCAGCATTTGTCAAACTCTTAAATACAGTCTTCTTGAAGAGCTACAGGAAACAGGTATGAAAGTTAAAACTAAATATAACAATTTGCCTAATTCTGCACACTCTAAAATAAACTAATAAAATAAACTAAATCTAGACCCATGGAATTTCCATCCAACAGTTCTTTACACAGTCGATAGTTATTTTTTGGTATCTACCCTCTGGAACTTTTTAATTTGTTTTTGCAGTTTTACATCTAAAATGACTTGAATCGTAAATGACTGATCTAATTTTCCTCCATTTCTTTCTTGAAGGCTTACAGCCATGGTTGTCCTCGGTGAACCAGAGAAAACAAATGCATCGTCTGGTCTTGTGTTGGCAAAGGGGTCAGGACTGATTGAGATCCAGTACCTAAAGAAGCATTGGTCAGGGCCTCGTTCAGATGAAGTAGAGAAATTCCATCACTTTCTGCAGCAAGTTGTATAACATCTGCACGGACTATAAAATTACTCAGGAATCATGGAGCAGGAAGCAGATCCATGGTTGCAGCTTTATGAATGTGCAACTGTATATAATTGTTATTATATATAGTCAACTTTTTTTGTAAGAACTATTTGTAAATTTTGTAAGAACTACACCAAATATCACGCGAAGCATTTATGATTTTGGTATTCAGGAGTACATTTTATTTTTCTCTCCACTATATATCCACACACCAATACAAAAACTGAATCCTCATTTCTCTACTTCAGCTCCTGCCCATTAACATCAGAATGTGGACAGAGCCTTAAAGCCTGTGCCAGTTAGCTAGCTAACAAACTAACTAACTGCACAGCATGGCAGCACATATTGTATTGTAATTTCAAAAACCAAGGAAGTTTCCCTGTATTTATTAACACTATGTACTGACATTCAGAGTACACTTGCCAACAGTTACCTTGTTGTATGTGGAATTTATTCCAGAATTAAGGAAGTAACTGCTGAAAGTTGCAGTGAGCAGTGACTTGCCAGTTAAATGAATTGCCCATTCGGTGGCTTAACATCTATTGTGTTGTTTATATCACAGTTGAATGTAAAATGATGCCCAAGAACAATACTTCATTTTACTCTTGGTCATTTCAAAATACTTTCTTGTGAGATCACTTTCTACGTGTCTTCTTAACTCATCTTGAAAATCTTATTATATAAAAGGTTATAGTTGGATATTTTGGGTATCTGCATAATGAGCTGATTTGTATCATAATAGCTTGTTGCTAAGTTTATATTTCTAAAGCACAAATCCTGTTTGGAAGAACAGTCGACCTTGGCATTGCACATTTACAATTCAACACGTTTACTAACAAAAGGCATTTTAGTCCCAGTTTCTCTTACTTGTTGCTATTTTGAACATCACAAGAAAATTAACCTGGTTTAGCCATGCATGCTGATGTGTGACCGTATGTGACTTCTGGTAATGGAAAACAAACTATGGGATCGATTATCTGCCATATTTAATGCAAGTATATTTTGCGCAATGTTCAAATGCCTGTATAGAAAGAGTTATAGGTACCTTTTTAATTATATAATTAACTACAATTAAAATAATTTATTAATTATGTAATAATACGCTGACCTCGGGATAACGAACGCCCTGGGGACTTGGGGAAAAGAGACTTGTATCTGGGTGTTTGCTATAACATTGAAACACTGAAATGGCTGAATGTTAAACAGGGTGAGCAGACATCTACTGAAGGAAGAGGAGCGAGGGTATGGGGTGAGGTGACGAGAGGGAGCGGGCTGTACGAGCGAACGACTGGCTCGCGCTCACACTCTCCGGTACCCACACGAATGGCTGCCGAGCAACTCCGTCATTTTGACTTGGCTGCAGATCATTATATCAGGGCTGCGATTCTTCAACAATCGCAGTATCGGGGTAATAATCAATAGGAAAAAAGAGCCCCGGTGTCAAGTTCGCTATAACCGGAGGGATCATCATAACTAGGGGTGATAAAACCGAGGTCAGGCTTTAACAAACCTTTTGGTTGGTTAATTGCATATTTAAAGGCATCAAAAATGCCGCCTTTACACATGGTTTACATGCGACACATATATGTACAGACACGTAAGTCTGACCCATAGAGATAGAAAATGGGGGCCAGTTCTATAACTGATGATTGAAAGATACCATTTTTGGAGCAATGCTTTGCGGAGGCACTGGGGTTTAAATGGACCATGAGGACGCACTCCCCAGTTCTCGCATCACAATAATATGGTGAAATGTTACAGTGTTAGAATCATAGAAATTGCAACGAGGAGGAGCTCATCAAAGCCCATTGAGACTGCACAACCCACCCAAGTTGTATAAAAGCGAATTTACATTAGCGAAGTCTTGTAAACTATTTACACTTCACAAAATTGTTTTCATACAGGATTTTTGCTTAAAGTAATGTGTGTCCAGAGCTCTTTTGGTGATATGGTTGATATATACAATTAAATCAGTTAAATAAAAAAAACTGCAAACGTTGCTATTGCAAGAACATTATTTTGAAAGACAATGCAGTCTAACAAACACTGATCTTTTATAAATAGTGATGTTTTCCCCACCAAATCTTTAGAACTGAAAATTTCATTATCAGGACTTGGGGAAGAAAAAATCTGTTTGAAGTTCAGAATATGTTGCCTCCCACTATTATCACGACTGGTTGGTAGGTAGTGTTTAGTGTTTAGTGCTTACTTACCCGGACAGAGATGGAAAGATCTGCAGCAGCACTTCTGGATATTCTAGTGATTTATTGTTTTATGATTTAATAAACATTCAAAAGGTTTGACTTTTTATGGCCTATGTTTCATTTTGAAAGCATGTAATGGCAACCACCTAGTTTTCTTCTGCTCATTAAAATTCATGAATAAGTTTTTTATATATAGGATATCTATTTTGCGGCAATTTATTCCAGAGTTTATTAATTGCTCTTAGAAGTGTCATACTTGATGGTGGTTTAGCTGTGCAGTTTTTAAGGGGAATTACACAGAATTATAATATATGAAATTATAATTGGTGTAGCGCCTTTCACGGGGTGAGGATGTCCCATAGCGTTCACAGGATATACTGTAAAATGAGCAGGATTGGGTTAAATCATTTAACGATTCTCACTCAAAGTTCAAACATAACCAATTATCACTTGAAAATGTACAGGAGGTTAACAAGGAGCTGTAGAATTTTACTTCAGTGGAAAGATAAAGCCTTCAAGAGCAGAAGGCAGCCCAAAAAAATTGGTGGAAAACATCTTAAATTATTTTTGAATTAAACATTGTCTAGGAACGGTGAGAGATTAGCTGTGTTGCGCTGTCTCAATAATGTTTTTTTAAGGGAAAGTTCGATAATGCAGAAAACTCCTGACGGTTGTGAAGATTTCTCTTATTCAGGTGCGACACCCTGGCTCAGTTGGTAACACTCTCGTCCCTGAGTCACAAGGTTGTGGATTCGAGCCCCACATTGTGACTTGGAACTGATTTAAGGTGACTCTCTACTGCAGTGTTGCAGGTATGATGCGTTGTATGGGGTGTCGTCCTTCAGTTGAGACATTAAACTGAGGCCCCAACTGCCTGTTCAGGTGAGCGTTGATGGTACTATTCAAAAGAAGAAGGCAGTTTCTCCTGCTATCCTGACCAACAATCCCCCAAAATAAATTGAATCTTTCACTCCATGGCTATTCGCGTTAGTCCTAAAAATGCACAGTCACTGCACTTTACAGTATATCCTGTGAAGCATTTTAGGATGGCCTCCTGACATGAAAGTATACCAAATGTAAGGATTATTGCTATTCTCTGTTAAAGATCAGAGAGCAGGGGGAAGAACGTCTGAAAGCTCACCAACCATAGTGAGGTGGGGGGCAAGAGACAGGCCAGTGTTTGCTGAGTGAAAGGGGAGGGTAGGGTTGCACAAGGTCACAGAGGTTGAGGCTCTGGAGGGATTTGGATATGAGGACTACAATCTTGACTATAATGCAAGTAGCTGTTAAGTTGCGAAAGCATTCCTTGGCTATTCCTTTTCTCTATTGATACAGTGAGCTTTGGCGTAGTGTGACGACAGTGGGTAGACTAGAAACAGGTAACTGAAATGGAGCCATCAGTTCTACTCTCATCCATGGACTGAATAGCTAAGATGTTGCACAAGGCTAACATTAGTGACATTGGTGTTCTTTTTCCTGTTTTTCCTCGTTTTTATTCCATAAAAAGGTAGTTATCCTTTGGTTGTTTCCATTGAGGCCCAGAAGAGGGCAGATTTGCTCCGTGATATAATCCAGACCTCAAACACAGGATTATAATGGAAGGTATCAAGATGACACGAGAGGTACGGATTAAAGAAATCCTTCGGACCAGTTGATCTCACCTCTCTAGAATATTCACCTGTTGAATCAAGTTCTTCAGCACCTTGGGACGTCCTCCAGACGTGAAAGGCGCTATACAAATGTAATCTTGTTCATTGAACGAGTCCAGTATCCTTGCCTTGAGGACCTCCTCTGCTACCATTGATGTTGATTACCATGCAATGAAATGCTTTGTGGTTTCTGCCCTAAACATGTCCTCTGTAACCCTGAATCTTGCCCTCTTTGTCCTTATATCTAAAAGTATCAAATGCAAGGATTATTATTATTATTATTATATCAGTACAGAACAACATCCATTGTGTCTGGAAGACTGCCACCTTGGTTATCAGCCTTCATTATTAATCCCACCTTCCATCTCTTTTTCCATATCACTTACTATTTCTTATTCTTTGGGTTCCGATAGGACGCTAATAGGTTTCTGCTTGTGTCAGACACCTGGCTGACCCTCCAAAATTGAATGATTTTATTCCTGTAACTTCAGTGTAAGGATTATTATTGTTATTATTATTACTCTTACCTTTGGTCCCAGGTGTTCCTCGAATTTCCTGAATGAATTTCAGGAGCGAGGTAGCAAAGTGTGATGGGATGAAGGAACAGTTCCACTTGTGCTAATGAATCCCACACTCTTAACAGCCATCTGAATGCAGCCAATTGCACACAGCAGTGTCCCACAAACAGTTATAGATTGAATGACCAATTTTCTTTTTGAAGGGTTTATTACTCCCGGAACGTGTTCTGCCAATCAACTAACAACTGGGTTCCAGCTTACTGCTCGGTAAACAGAGGCGAGCGGAGTAAGGAAACTTGCCTAAGGTTTAGCCCTGACTGGGAATCGAACACAGGTCCTCTCGTTTGTGAGGCAAGTGCTCTAACCAATATGCTACAGAACTCACAAATTGAAAATTTAGAGGATTCAATCTATATTAAATAGATGTTCCCGTATTCTGCACGATCTTAAATTTGAAGACAATGTTTTTAAGCATTGCATATTTCCAGCCTTTACATCTCACCATTTTCCATCTTCTTTCCATTGGGTAACCTGAGGCTCTTGGGGAGTTGGCAGTATGGTGTGAAGGTCCATAAAGAAGTTAGATTAATGTGCCTGAAACCACAGCAGCCCGGATTTGTCTGGGTCGGGTCTGCTATGTTTTTGCAATGCCGGTCTGGTTAAATAATGCTGTCACTGCTGAGGCTGATGAAAAACAGAATAACTCAGTTGTGTGGTTCCTAGAATCCTGTTGGGAAGCAGCCAAAGGATACAAAGGATAGATCTCTTAAATCTGTTTTTACATTGAGAGATAATGGGCTCTACTGGGTACTACTGGAGTCCTGTAGCTAGCGTATCGGTTAGAGCACTCGCCTCGCAAGCGAGAGGACCTGGGTTTGATTCCTGGGCAGGGCGAAACATTAAGCAAGTTTCCTAACTCCACACGCCTCTGTTTACCTAACAATAAGTAGGAACCTGGTTGTCAGTCGATTGGCGGATGGCTTTCTGGGAGCAATAGTCCCTTCAGAATAAATAAATAATAATAATTTGGTCCTCCATCCACGACTGTTTGTGGGACATGCAATTGGCTGCCGCGTTTTGCCCACAAAACATACAGTCAATTCACTTTACCGTATATTCTGTGAAGCGCTTCGAGACATCTCGAAGACTTGAGAAAGTGCCCCATCAAATGCAAGGATTATTATTATTACTCTTACTTTTGGTCCCAGTTGTCCCTGAATTTCCTGAATGAATTCTAGGAGTGAGGTAGCGTGATGGGATGAGGGAACCAGGTAGATTTTCAAAATGGGTGTAAAAGTATGTTTGAACACAGAAGGAAAAAAAATCGAAAATGAATAGGTAACCGTTCTTGATCGTTTCATTTGCCAAATCTAATCAGATGTTTATCTCCATGCTTTACAGAGGTATAATTGAACATGTGGCCGGAAATGAGTACTTGACTTTTCTGAAGGATTATAATTTGAAAATAAGATTTTTCTGTGTTTTTGATGCAGAAATTTAAGGCCAATGCTTATCCAGAATGTTTTAATCAAATAGTAATTGCCCTGCGTTGTGCGTTGCAAAGTTATGAGTCAGAAAGTTGTTGGTTCAAGCCAACGTTGGGACTTGGAACCAATGCAGTCTAAGATGATGCTCCAATGAAATGTTGGGGTGTGTACTGCAATGTGGGAGGACCTTGCTTCAAATGAGATGTAAAACCAAGGTCCCATCTGCCTTTCCGGTGGATATTAAAGATCCCATGACATTATTTGAAAAGTGAAAAGAGTTTCTCCCAGTATCCTAGCCAACAATCTTTCAAATAAACTCGGTCATTCACTCCATAGCTGTTTGCGAAACACCGCTCTGCGCAAATTGGTACATCTGTACCAAACGTAAGGATTACTATTATTATTATTTGTTGGCGAACAGTTATTTATTGCGCTTATAAGAGGATTTAGTTAGTTTTTTCCCCCCTCTCCTGAGATAGAGAAGTCTAGTTCAGAGTGCCAGTGCCACTGAGCTACCTTCCAGCAGCTTGCGCAAGAAGGATGAGCCTGAGGGTTGGCCTGATTCTGAGCTCAGTGACTGTCTCAGTGCAGAGTCCTCAGGGCTTAAGAGTTTTCAGATCCCTTTAGGCCATCTGCCTTGAAGTTTGAACCTGGAAGTCCAAATGCTCTGTAGTTCTTAAACAGCTACGATCTTCCTTAGATTCTCGTCCTTCGCATGAGGCTTTAAACCTATTTGCCTGTCCCGGTGGATGATAAACTTCCCATGGCACTATTCAAAAAGAGAATAGGGTTTGTCCTGGTCAACAATCCCCCAGATAAAAAAATGGTAATTCGCCTCATGTCAGTTTGTGGGATATTGCTGTGCGCAAATTGTCATCTGCGTTTGTCTAGAAAATACAGCCTCACTTAATAATAATAATATCGCTTCACAGAATATACTGTAAAGTGAATATACAGTCAATTAATTCACTTCACGGTGTATTCTGTGAAGTGTTTTGAAACATCTCAACAACGCGATAAGGCACTATATCGCTCCTTTCACATTCGGAAAGATGTCCCAAAGTACATCACAGGATATCTGGAAGCAGTGAATCCTGGATCTGTTTGGGTGATGGTCTCAGTGCCGATTTGCGTGAACTT